AATTGCAGTCGTTTTTGTGGTTTTTGGTTTTGCTGATTAACCATTGGAAATGTGTTAATTGATTGTTTGGATTGACGCATTTTCATTGACAATGTTTAACTGTTTAATTGTTATTTGTATTGTCAGTTGAATCAGTGAGCTAATCAGCTAATTTCATACTCAGATCGGGCCAAAATGTAGACATGAAATGTGTTTATTTTTAGATTGAATTTTCTCATCTATTGAATCAACAGCAAGAACTTGTTCAATGTAAGAATAGATTTACTAGGTTTTAGTTAATCTATTTTAAGACGATTCAAGTTTAAAAATACAACAGATGATGGCAACGACTCTAACAGACTCAATTTGGAGACTTTCCCTTTCAACGGTTAAACTGGCTGAGATAAAGCTAACGGTTACGATTTTACCATGTTTTCATTTGTTTTGTGATTTAATTTGAATTATTGTTACATTTTTAATTTCAATTTAATGATATTTATACCTACTTACATTATACAATTATATGGAGATTCATTTATAGCCAGTTAATCATGTGTTTCATCTCTTTTGGCCCTTCCTTGGCAAATTTATTTTCATCAATATTTTCAACTGAATAACCGTATTTTCAATTTTTACGCATTATTTTAACAACTGAACTGCGAATTGAATTTATGCTCTTATTATGACTAAATTGAGTGATTCAATAAAACCATTTCTCAAATATCGCCAAAACACCCGCAAGATTAACAAATTGGATGATAATGAAAAATCTAATACAAAGTAAGTGGTTTTCCTATACACATTGATATATGCTTTTTGCTTTCTTTATCTGATTTTTTTTCTTTTTTTGAAACTATCAGATTCATTGCCACTTCAACTAGTTTATCTCATGTGACGATTATGATACTGTTAACACTATGCCGTAAATCAACAATTGCAATATCAATGGAAAAACGTCTTTTTGTATATTCTTGTTTAATCTTTTTTGGTGGCATCATTTGTGATTTTGCACCCATTTTAATTCGTGCATTTGTACCTTTCAAGGCAACCAAGGATGGATATCTTAATCAATATTTAGTTTATCTTGTTTGGTGGTGGACATTGCTACTTTTAATCCCATTCCTGTTTTTAACAACTATCATTGTACAATTAAATCCAAGTCAACAAGAAGAACAGCAGCTTGAAGAATGGATTGAAAGGTACATTAAACAAGCTCATCTCAATGAGATGCTTCTACTGATGTCAAGTAGGAATCTATTTTAGCTAAAGCTGGCAATTATCATAATTCAAATCAGATGACTTATCAAACAATTTTCATTCAACTATTCAATTTTTTTCTAACCACCAATTTACTCATTTATTTCGACAGATCAGCTTCTGGTAGCATCTTGGAATGGATGTATCGTTATGACAAACTTACAACCACTAAAAAGATCAGTATGATGTTTCAAAGCGGCTCAATTGTTCGATTGATAATGAATATGACATTTATTTTTGGCTCATTATTACTGTTTAACCGTGTCATGGAAGCTACAGGAAGCTGTTCTGTTGAAATGTTAAAATCAGAAGAAGCTTGTCTTCGCTTAGGCCATCGTTGGTCTGGCTTCGCGATCGATGAAAAGATATTTCAATTAATAATTGCTAACATGATCATACTGGAAGAGTGTACACTGATGAAAGGCTGGGAACCTTTTGGTGAACAATTAACCATTAAACGAAAAGTTTACCTTAGACAATGTAAAATTGATTTTAATCAGGCAATGCTATTTGATCAACTTAATGGCTACATCCGATGTCTTTTCATTGCGCTAACACTGCTAAGCTTTGCATTGGACTTCATGATATTCCAATATGCCGTCAATTATCCAACAATGGTTTCGAAAGCAGCAGCCTACGGTTGGGCATTAGTTTTATACTATTCAACTTATCGATTCATATATAAATCAGCATTTTTTACACATTTTACTGAATCATCCAAGAAGACGAAATGAAAATATCTTATTGAATCCTATTTCTCATAGAACACCAATTAGATAGTAAATTGCGAATCTCATGCGAAATTTAGCCCAAATTTTCGCAATAAAAAAACGTAAATCCAATTACGATAAAAATTTATTAACTTCATCAAAATAACAATGTTTAACAAAACTCATCGCAGGTTTAAAATCATCATTTTACCTTTACTTTTGCTTTTGCCCTGAGTGGATCAACCTTTGCAGCTTGAAAAACATTTAAACAGCAAAAGTAAAAATGAAAACAATATTGTACTGATTGTAACATGACTGTTAATTAACAAACAGAGAGGAAAAGCTTCAATCTTTTTGCTCAGATTGAAAAAAATCTTTGTATCGCTTATACATTGATATGATACTCGTTCACAATTAATTAAATATGAGATATTGATGATCAAGTTTCTATGAATTGAAAGAAGGTTTGGATTGGAGAAAGTGTAAATCAAGATAAATGAAAATTAATGCAAAAATTACAGTCGTTTTTGTGGTTTGTTGATTAACCATTGGAAATGAGTTAATTGATTGTTTGGGTTAACGCATTTCCATTGACAATGTTTAGCTGTTTAATTGTTATTTGTATTGTCAGTTGAATCAGTGTTACAAATGTTGATTTGTTTGATTTCTTGGTTATACTTTTGGTTGCGTTCAATAAATTGGGGTTAACAAGGCAAAGGCAAGTTTATTTTTGTTAAATTAGTTTAATTTAAATTGTTGGGACAACATTTTGTTGGCTTCAATTTGATTCTCTGTTGACATGTAATAATCATAATCTTAATAATAATAACAATAATAATTTAGTGTTTGATTAATAACTCAAATTGATTCAACGAAACAAGAAAAAGAAACGAAAACGAAACAATATCAATATCAATGTTAACAATAATTTATCAACTGCAAATCTATTAGCATCATCACACTGAAAAGGTTAATTGTAATTTGTTTTTTGGTGTTTTTTTCATTCATTCATATCTATAATTTAAAGACAATTATTATTAGTATTATTATTATTAAAACTGAATTAATGGCAATGGTTTAGTTGTTTGCTGTTGCTTTTTTTGATTTAAAACTGTCGTTAAAACAAAGCAAATATGATTTTAGTTATTGCTACAAACAGTATTGATACGATAATAATTGAATTGTAATTTTTGGCCAAAAAATAGATTCTTGTCAAAAATGAAGTAAAATGGGAAACAATTAGAGATTTTAAGGCAAATATTGATGATTTCTCATTAATATGATGATGATTGTGATGAACAATGATGGTGATGAATATTTAGATTGTGATAAATCACAATTGTTGTATTGACAAGAATATAACTGTTCACACCAAAAAGAGAAACCAAATTGCTTGATTTGCACAATTAGATGATGAATTAACTGGAGATTGACACATTTTTTTGAAGACAATAATTGTTGCTGTTAATTTATCATCGATATCCACTGCTATATGGTCCACTCATTTCAAAAGCATTATTGTTACTTTTATTAACATTGTTATTAGAATAATTTTTATCATCATTGTATGATGATGATGAATTGTAATAACCACTTGTAACGGACGTTGTTGGATGATAACCATTGTTGGAATGGTTATTAATTTTGTTATTATAATTAACACTAATAGGTCCACTTTTTGATCCCATTCTTGGATCATCACCCCAAGGATTATCTTCTGGTAGATAACCTTTGGTTGGATGGTCAATTGGGTAGTTGCTTTGCTGGTTAGAGTATTGTTGGGTTGAGGTTAAAGATGATGATGGAAGAGCTTTGGTTGAAAATGAATTAATCTCACTGTTTTGTTGTTGTAGGGTATTGGCTGCTGCTCGATGACGATCAATTTTATCACTGGCCTCGGTTAAAGCATTACATGTTGACTGGCCGCTATCAAAAGGTTTATATTCATGGATATGACGAATGAGTAAAAGTACCGGACAATAAGCTAAATTACTTAACGCAATTATCACATTTAAAGTGGTAAATCCAAATGTTTCCACAATATTACCAGCAATAATGGGTCCAAAAGCATAGGCCATTGAATAGGAGATGTCGGCAATCGCATAGATGGACCCATAAACGGAAACATAGCGAGTGTCCACAATGTATCCCAATGTTGGCAGGACAGCAGTGTCAATGGTTGCCACGCCAAAGCAAAGGATAGAGATGGGCAAGAATAAACTCCAAAAGGAGGAACACCAAGGAATGAGGAGACATGAGGTGCCCGTCAGAGCAAGGCCAGTTGCTGCTAGAAGCCATTGGTAGCAAGGGTAACGATTGGATAGGCGAACCGTCAAATAGATGCCCGCCACGTAAGGAAGAAAGGCTGGAAGCCAGATCATTCCGATTTGCCATTCTTCAACAGCCATTGTATCTTGCATCCAAATGGATATGGTTGGCTCAAGAAAAGCCAGGGATACATTGGCCATGACCAAGGCTCCGGCACAAACTGCGATATCAGTGTCCTGAAGAAGTACATATATTGGTGTTCCTTCAGCGGGTCGACTGATTCCTGCTTGTTTCATTTGAGCTCTCACGGTGGACATGACAATGAGCACTAGGAAACCATCAAACAGGCAAACCAGCGCAAGCAAAATAAAGGGAACTTCTTTACCGCAAAATTCATACAAAAATCCACCAAATGGAGGTGCACATAATGAACCAAAAGAGATGAAAGTCAATGCTATTCCAAGTGCTTTTTGTCGCTCCGATTCTTCGGTAAAACGATCGGCAATCATGGCTAAACCTCCTGTATCGGCAAATGCTGAGCCAGCTCCTTGAAGGGAACGAGCAAAAAAGAGGACTCCATAAGATCGTCCACAGGCAAACAGAGATGTTGAGAAAAACATAATCGTTAAACCAATCATCATGGGCACATCATAACCAAGTCGATCAATAATAGCACCCGAAAATGGATTAACCAACAATTGAACCATTGCTTTGATTGCAAACAACAATCCAACCGCTGAATCTTCACCTTCATAGACAACTTTACCTCCAATTCTTAGAGGTATCAATCTATTGGTACTGTTTTCCGGAATATACTCGACTCTTCCACCCTCCTTGTGGGTTGTCCAAGCGCCTATTTGCCTTAAATAATCTGGTATTATGGGCACAATGACCATGTAAAGCATATTGTCCAATAAAAGGGCAATACAAACAGCAACCAGGATAACTTGGCGTTGAGCTGTTGGCTCTTGGATTCGTTCATTAAACTTTTTCCATAAAGTTCGTACATCTTGACCACCGGGTAAAGGTATCATCGGCATGGTGTAAAAATTTGGGTAAAACTAAAGTCTGAACAAGAACACACACTCAACTCTTATCAAACAGCAACAGCAACAATAACAATCAAACGCACTAACACACAACTTGGTAAAATGGTTACAAGTGAAGACACAAAAATAAATCTATTCAGAAGGATATATCAACTGAATTGCGGTCACCAATTGCCATTCCTTTTGGCCTAATAAAGTATCGAAAAGGGAAAATGAAAAAAGGAAAAGAGAAAAATATGAGAAAGAATTAGAATCGTGGTCACAAGGAAACTTTGGATTGTTAATCATCATTGATTGAATTGATTCAAGTTGATGAAGTTAAGTGAACAAAACTGAACAATGCAAAAAATAAATCGTACAAGTTTAACATGAAAAAATGGCCTAAACTCTAGTGTTTTTTTGTGTTCATCAGAAAACAAAAGGTAAGTATTGATCAATATATGACAATATTAACAAGAATAATAAAGACATTATTTTCTATCATGATGATGATGATGATAATAATGGATAATATCGATAATAATTTAAATTTCCTCTTTGATCCACGATTTAATCCTTTCTTTTTTGTCTCTCCTTTTCTCTTTCTTTCTCTCTCTTTTAGATGAAATTAAAAGGATTGGCATTGGATTGGATAAATTGAAAAATAATTGATCTGGTCAAATCTGAAGAGTAAATGATTAGTTTTTACATTACAAAAGGTCCAACTGGTTATTTGTCAACAATCATCTGAATTGTTTATCACAATCAGATATTCAAAAAATGATAACAACATGAAAGCGCAAACGATGCAAGAAAAGCAAAGGAAAAATTCGTGGTTCCAAGAGGTTGCTTATTATCATTATTACACATTTGTTTTTAATTCAATGTTATTCAATATCTGACAAGGAAATGGTTGACAAATGTTGAAAGAATCAATTTAAATCATGTAACATGAATTATGACAGAATTAGAATGTGAATGAGACAAAATGAAAAACAAAATCTGATTCAATGTTGATCAACTCTTCAGAATGAGCAATTTTTGACTCTTGCAATTTCAAGTCACGTTCACTATGAAGATGATGATGTTAATAATAGTGATGAGCAAGAAGACAAAGTTATCTATTTTTATTTTGCTTATTTTGCTGATTGCCTATTATCATGATGAAGATAAAGATGATAAAACATACAAATGTAAGAATGCTCTTTACGTGGTTCAATGAATATCAAACCGTGTTAAAGAAAGAGGTTAAAAGTAAGAGAGATGAAGAAAGTTTCATCTTCATCTTTGTTCAAGATGAAGAGTAAATAAAGAGAAGATAAGTCTTGAGGGAATTTTGAGTAACAATGAACTGGGAGTGTGTTTTTTACTCTCAATTTTGCTCTACAAAAAAAGAGTACAAGATAACTTGTTGAGAATCATGAATAACATTTAAACATATGATTCTGTTTATCATTAGTTTTTTTTATTTTTACTTTTCTTATTATCATTCAGGCAACATTTTATCCAACAAAAAATATCTGTCATGATAAAAACTCTATTTACATTGAAAATATTTTTCTCACTCCCAGTTAACTCATAATGGCAGTTGAATCAAATTTGCTAGACTTTAAGCTTTTGCCTTTTTTTGCAATCTTTAAATTGTCCGATTAAACTTTCATTTTTATTGCCAAATGAAGTTAATTATTCATGTTCAACATTTATCAACTTTACCTCGTAATGATAATTACAAGAGGGCCAAGAAAAGACAATTTATCTTGTTGATCATCATGAACAACATCATCAACATTCCCTTAAGCAGTGAGTAAATTTAATTTGCACGCAATTCATCTTAACCACATAATCAATGAAAATCATGGAAACACTTTTTTCCTCAAGAAAAGCTGATTCCCAGTCTTGAAAGTGTTTTTTCCCATTCATTTTTACCTCGCCATCTTTACCTTTGACAGTAACAAAGAGTTTGAAAGTTATCAGAAAAATTGTTTCACCTTTTATCATTACTTTTACCATTTCACTCCCAATTGTTAAATATTGGATACAAAATTGATTTTACATTATTTTTTCTCAACATTATCAGTTATTAGCTATCGACAGATTTTCACTTTAATAATCTATTAAATAATTTTCCTCTTCTTTTACCTCCGTGTTAATTGTTATCAGATGAATTTTATTTTTCCTCCCTAATAGTGTTTCCATCATTATTAAGGAATGAAAAATTTGCTAATTTACTTTTTCTCTCTCCCGTTTTTCCCATTCGACAATAATGATAATTTTCACATTGTAATCAATTATTGATTTCAATATTGTATCGACAATTGTATTAATAATTAATACATTTTCCTAACAGTTAAGCGACAACAAAATGTCTCTCAACTGAAAACAAGTTGCCGATGGTGAAAAAAAGTTTACGATAAAAGGTACAAAAATCAATACTCGACTTTCATGTTACGATAAATTAATGGAAAAAGTTGCTTAAAAAGTTCAAGTCAAACTTACCTGTTGATAGTTTTTGTAATTTTGATGATTGGGCGATGAGATGAAGTTTCACTTTATTGGTGACACAAGATGAGTTTACAGTTTATCAATTTGAAGTCAAAGGCCATAACGGTAACATTTTAACGACAAAATGAAATTTCGCTGAATTTAGATGAATCTCGCTGACCACTCAATCTCAATTGTAATAGTGATTGTAATAGTTGTAATTTGAATGCATAATATTTTTATATCTTTATAAGGTTTGGTTGAAGGCCATGGGAGTGATACATACAGAAATAGGAATGTTATCCAACTGAATCAAGATTGGTGAATGAACTATCTTATAGGATGATGATGATGATAACAGTGTTCAGGCAACTTTGTCTCTGTGATTATGCTCATTGATGAAAGTTCATCATTTTTATCATGTTTACCTTTTCTCTCTCTCTGTGTCTCTTTCTGTCTCTATGATAAGCATTCTCATCTTCATGATAATAATATTGATTTGGAAGATATTCCTGCGCATTATGAATCATATCTATTGAAAGGCTTCTAGTTTGTTTCAAGTCTCTTCTTTGTTTACTGTGCCTTTGAACCAATGGGAAACTCAAGGCAAGAGTTTCAATTTATCTGATCAATTCCTTTTGAGTCGATTCAACATGTTTTAAGTTGTAATTATAATTAGTATCTCTAGTTTACTGAGCTTATAATCATAATAAATTATAATTAGTTGAAACATTTTACATTCAACTTTCAGTTTCTCATATTTTGAATCAGTTTTTTGCTTTTTTCAGTTTTTCTTGTTTCTTGTAAATTAACTAATTTGATTCAACTTTTTTGTTTGTTTGTTCATCTTTTTGTTTTTCATTTAATATTTGTGTTTCAAGGTGAGTTGATGGTGTTTAAATGTATGAGTGTTAACAGAGCATTGAAGATTCAATCATTATCATGGACCATGAATTGTAAATATTAACCTTTTTCTGTTTAATTTTGTACTTTTCTTACATTCCAACACTATTAATTGTTGACTTTATTTAATTGACAAATGACAATTTGTTTATTAAGATTGCGTTTCTTTATTTAATTGTATCATTAATAACAAGTGAAAAAAAAGAGTTAAGAAAAAAAAAAGGTTTGCTTGAACAAAAAAAGGTTAACAAAATGATGACTTTTAGAGTATACAAATGATGATTGTCATGAAGATTTGGAATAATCTTAATTTTGTTTTTTTTGTATCTACACTTGATGAAGATGAGATGATGATGGTGATGGTGGAGGTGATGCTGATTAAATATTAAAAGTAAATGAAAAAAAAGAGTTGAGGTGATGATGGTGATGGACAATGAGGTTTGTAATGGATGATGGATTTTGTCGCAAAAAAAGTGTTTATTTGGAATGAAAAACAGGAAAAGTCAACTTCTAGTATCGTCCGTAAGATGATCGAGGTGATTCATAACGTTCATCGGAACCGTATGAAGGAGCTGAAGCGGGATAGTATCTATCATAGGATCGTCCATAGGGTCGTCTATCAGTTTCATATGAAGATTGGGATGATGGACCGTATGATGCAGGTTCAGGTGAGTATGAAGATGTTGAGGATCCGTAAGATGAGGGAACTCCGTAACCATAGGGTGATGCAGGGGCAGTGTAACTGGTAGGTTTGGGTGCGTATGAGCTTGATGTTGGTGCAGGGTACTTGTAGCTTCGTGAGGAAGGGTAGGAAGAGGGTTTAGCATAACCGGAGTAACCTGATCGATAGCCGTCTTCATAGGAGGCAGAGGAGGGTGAAGAGTAGGAAGAGTAGGAAGAGTATTTTGGATAATGTTTAGGATAATCGTAGGAGCTTGGTGTGTAAGATGAACTAGTTGATGGGTAAGAGGGTTTCCAGCCTGAGTAGGAATAGGATTTGGGTGAAGGACCGTAAGAGGGTTTAGTGTATTCATCATTGTAAGCAGGCTTGGATGATGGGACATAGTCTTGCTCATAGGTTGAAGCTGGCTTGTAGTATGAGGGTGATGACGATGGACCGTAACCGTAGGCACTTGGCTTCTCATACTCGGATGGATAATACTTTTTAGGTGTTGGTGGATAGTAAGAGTCGGGTGGTGGTGGTGGTGGTGCTGATGCTGCGGATGGAGCTGGAGCTGCATATCGACCCTTTACTACATCGGGTTCATCTGGATAGTTGCGACGAGAGGTGATTATGTAGGGTTCCGAGTCGGATGATGAAGATGGTGGACTAGAGTAGGAAGAGGAGGACGCAGGTGATGCAGATGAAGAGCCAATCGAGTAGCTGGTTCCAACAACTGCTGATTTATAACCAGCGGGCTCATATGAACGGGATCCGTAGGAGGAATCAGCGGCAGTGGCCAATTTTTCCGTTGAAGATGCGGATGAAGCTGTTGTAGCTGATGATGAGCAGAAAGTGACTGCCACAAATAAAGCAACTATTATCTGTAAACAAAGAAAGACAAGAACGAGATTTAGTTACATACAAAAAAAGGATGATGATCAAGATGATGCTTCTAGCCATTTGTTACTTGGGTCATATATCATCATATTATCGTCATAATATCATCATAGCATCATCTTATTACATTTTGTTTTTAATGATGAAAATAAAAAAAGGTCCGGTTTTTGTTGTTGTTGTATCAAGGAAGTGTTATCATTGGAAGTTTTTTTTGCTTCTTATTCATTTCTCTTCTTCTTGCTTTAGGTTAATCGTAATTTTGATAATTCAATATTTTTGTCTTCTACTATCATCATGTTCATCATTATAATCAAACGTTTGGGTTGGGTGAAAGAACAAGAAAAAACACATTTAATTTCTTCTCAACCTGATCCTCATTATCTGATCATTTAACTGAACGGATTAATCGCTTTAATCAAGGGTAATCTGAATCAGGATGTGGATTGGTAAAATTGCAATTATTAATAACAGGAACAGCATTTTCTTGTAACAAATTAACTGTTAATTGACCATTATGATTGCGCTTAATTTATCATTTACTGCGTCTTCCAGGTAAATCTAATTGTTGATCAGCGATAATTGATACAATAAGTGTAAATCAATTGATTAAAAATGCCTAATGAAAATTTAAATTTAATCATCATTTTGACCTTGATGTAGTCTTTGGTCAATAGTGTTGAACATTCACAACACTTTAACTGGCCTAAGGTCAATTAAATCGTTACCGATATTTATAAATACAATTTTAATGTGAGAGGGAAAATTGTAAATCAATCACGATGTATTAACTTATTAAGGTCACTTTTTTCATTCCGTCAATTGAACTTTTTGCTTCTTCTCATTCCTTCATCTATTTTTCCCTTATCAATGTAATAATGTTATTTTATCAATTCTGATAATAATGAACGCTGTTATTAAAGTCTATTAATCGTATGTACTTATTTTGATGGATTTGATTTGCGATTTTACGATAAATTCATTCATCATTCTTTTTAATTGTAATCATATTATTAAAATATAATAATTCAAAAAGATGTTGATGTTGATATGTTGTTGATCAGGTCATAACATGTATAAATAAAGTATAATAGAGTTACTTTTAACTCTTGTAGCCTTAACATTCAATGGGATAAACGTGAAACAAATATAACAATTTACTATCAAATGGACAATGAAAATTTGGCGCAAAAATAAAAATAACTTTGAATTTTTGGACTCGTTTTTTTAATATTAAATCATTTTTTGTATTGACATGAAATTGACAGGAATAATCTGAAAAAATTTGAACGAGTTGAATAAAATTTGCAAATCAAAAGTGATGATGAAAAATGAATGCAAAATGAATTGAAAATATTGTTAGTTTGATATGAAACTGTTGAATGTGTTCATCTTTTGAAGCTAAAAATTGCTCTTCTAATCAAGTAACTAATCAATCAGGATAATTAGCATGTTGATGGAGGAAATGATTACAATTTGATTGGTTTGAGATGTTTAAGGTTTGAACAATGAAAGCTGTTGATATTCAAGGTGAATGTAAAGAGCTATTTATAATTGTTAAATTGTTAGATTGGTTAAGATTTTGCTAATTTAAGTGTGTTCAATTAGTTTTGATTGATAATTTCACTGAATTTACTGTCAATTGTTGTTTTGTTTCATATTAACTTGTTAATAACGTTTAAATGTTAGGCTAGGCTTGATTCAGCTATTGATTTCAGTTTCACTGAAAGTTGATTGTTTTTTTGTTCAACAAAAACACTTTTATATTTTAAAAGATAAATTGTAATTTATTACGTTCGTTGTCCTTAAATTGGTTTCAACTGATTACCTGATCAATTTTTATATTCATTTACCTTGTTATTCAAGTTAACAGTGTATGGTTAATGGTATTAATTATCATAAAGGGTAAATCATTCAATTCAACTGTTATTATGCACATCACTTTCGCTGTTTCACTTTTACCAAATCAGTTTTAACCTCTTCTTTACAGTCTGTTGAACCATTTATAACAATTAACGTTGATTGTTGACTGTTTTTGCAACAGGCTCAATTAACGATTGGTAAATTGGTAGCAATTGATGATCGGTTAACAACTAACAATTGGAAAAGCTGACTTTTCCTTGGCTGTAAGGTTCTAACACTAAAGTTGTGGTTAAAAAGTTAATTTAAAGGTAAATTGCAAGATGAAAGGTTTGATTGCAATTGGTTTCAAATAATTTAAGTCTAACTAATAAGTTTAACTGATTGGAATGGATGATGTTAATTGTTGCCTTATATTGTTGGTTGGAGAAGCAAATTTGCATTGGTTAAGAGGATAGAAAATTGTCTTTGGTCAACTTACCATTTTCATGGTTCCTTGTGAATTTAGTTTCGTTTTCCTGGTTAATTGTTGGTTTGGTTATTGTTATCCAGTGAATCAGTGAATTAACTGTTAATAAAATACACTGTTAGTAGATGACCAAATGAATGGTGAACTTAATTATGATTAACTTAGATCCGATGACAAATTAACTCTGAACCTTTAGTTGCAATCGAGTCTGTTTAAATACTCATTTCATTCAACAATTCGTATTTTGTTTATTCAATTCAGTTGAATATGATACAAAATCAAATCAAATGGTGATGATAAAGATGATGATGGAGAGCAAAAGAGAGGGAGAGAGAGAGAGATGAAAGAAAGAAGAGAAATCTTTATACAATTAAAGTAGCAAAGAGGATGATAAAGGACAAGACCTTGTCCGCCTCCTTTATCAATCTTCCGGGAGGGTTTTACTTTCCTCTCTTTCTCTCCTCTTTCTTCGTTATCGTCCTTATCATCTTCGTCATCATCATCATTTTCCCTCCTTTTCATCTTTAATCATGATTCGAGTAGCGATTCGGTCTAAGATTAGTTCTACTTGACAATGCAAAATAATGAAGACGAAAGGTTTCCTTTTTCATCTTCTCTCTCTCTCTCTTCACACACCTTAATCTACCTTTCTCTTCACCATCACCCACAGACAGGAAGAGAATCGTGATGATCAATTTGTAATTAAAATATTTCGAATAATTTACTCACCAAATTTCCAATAATACGTTGAAATAGATCACTTTTCCGAAATTTTGAAGCAACTTGTTGCAATTTTTTCTCTTCTGGTAAATCCATTTGAAACCATTTTCTTATGGGATAATTTCTTGATTAGTTGATTGTTATTTTTAATTGTAGTTAAACCCATCGATAATTTATCAAATTGTTGGATCCATTTTTTTCTTGCTCCGGCTCAGGTTAACCTGAAGTTGCATTTCAATTGTTAAACACTGTTATGTACAAAAGGAAATTTTTGTTTCACTTGTATTAAAGAAATCAGATGTTGACTTGTTTCTTGTTCATCATTCAAAAAGATTCGATTTTCCTGAAACATGAGGTTGATCAAGAGATTAAAAAGTGATGATGATGTTGATTATAATGTTGGTTGTGATGATGTTGATGATGATACAGTTTCTAAAATTAATATGGTAAACACAAGACTGGGATTGAGATGATCTTGCAGATGAGAGTAAAAAATACCGATATCTTGCCACCAGGCCATCTCGCCTTTCTTTCAATGAAGCTAACCATCACTCATGAAAGACATAAATCACAAATATATAAATACATGTATAACAAGCAGTAAACCGGAAGAAATTAAATTAATCAATCAAAAATGGTAAACAATTAATTTAGATTGAGACAAAAAGACTAGAAAAATATGAAATAAAAATGGCTACCTTTACATTTGATTTTGGAGCCAAAAGGGTCCCTCCACTGGTAAGAGTTCAACCTGATGTCATGTGATCATTTGCCGGTTTAATTTAACGGTTACATCTCTCAACCTTTTGTTTTAGCTTTTTTGTTTATTATAATTAATGGTTAAATTTTGATTTGTTTTAATTTAGTGAATTATATTTAACAATGTTGCTTCTATTAAATACAATATAAATTGTATTGCTGTTATTACAGTTAAGGCTTTTTTTGCTTGAAAAATGCAACAGTTACTAACACGTTGGTTGAAAAGGGATTACATGTTTGCGGCACCATGTTGATCAACATAATCATCTTTAGACTCAACAGTTCATCGCTCTAAATTAATCAGTATTCATCTTGTAACTTGATTGTGATCCATGATTAACTGTAACCAGTAAAAAATGTGAGTATAGTGAGAAAAAGAAGAAGCGAGGAAAAAGTGCCTTCTCTTGTATTCAAAGTGAGTGTAACCTATTATTGGTTTGGTTTTTTGGTTTCTTTTTTTGTGTTATATTGCTATATTAGTGTGAATTAGAATAAATTTATAGCGAAAGTGAAATTAAAATAAAAATTTAAACTTGAAATGATTTGAAGTTTGTTAAAGAGAGACAATTTAAATATCACAATCTTGATTAAAACAAAAATTTGAATACATTGGATTTACGGTAAATATAAAAACTCATCTTGAGAAAAAGTTAAAACTGATTTAACCTTATTAATCTTTACTTTATTCACTTGTCACAATCAAATTAAAGGTTGACCAAGGTTATTGAGTGACCTTTATTTTGACAATATTGTTAATTTATTTAACTAATCATATAGCTATTAATGAGCACTATTTAAATAGTGATAAATCAAAGTTATTCATTACTTTATCAATAAGCAAATATAACAATGCGTAAATGAAGAAAAGGCAATCATAATTATCCTTTTCCTCTTAACTAATAACCAAATCTTTGACCTTTAATTCTGGTTAATTGTTTGCTTAGTCCAATCATCCATTTTGGAGCTTTTACTTTTATTTATTTAATCATTATGGTCATTATAAGTTTATTAAAAAAAGTATAAGTAAACCTCACAAAAAATGGTAATCAAGTTAATCGCCTAATTTTCCCCTTACTTATTTACACTTGATTGTAATTGTCATTTCTTTGCAAATGCAAACCTTCACAGTTTAATTGTTAGAAAAATAAATGACAATCAAAAGAGTTGTTTACCTACGATCAATCTACATTTGATTTCAATTGTAAAAGTCAACTCTACAAGGTCTGAAAATAAACTAAATTAATAATCAGGTTTAACCAAAAAAACAAATTGAACCAAGTTGAGCTAATCATCACTATTACAAAGTCATTTGCAATAATATTTGTATTATCAACTCAACAATTAAAGTGCAAATAGATTAAGCCTTGATCATAGAAAAGGCTCTAATCTTGACCAAAATCTTGACCAGAATTGTGAGACTTGGAAGCTGCTTTTGATATTGGATTAAAAATAATATCATTTATTGGTTTTTAAAATTGAAAAATATTGATTTACAAGGTTAATCATTTGTGGGTTAAAATTGTTATTGTTGAGCATTTTGAAGATTATGTTGGTTACTTTATTAATTATTCTGATGATCATTTTTTTTCTTACTCTTGTTTTAATAGCTGGAACGATTGAAATCTGAATTGGCTGAAACATTTTGTGGTCATGGAAGCATTAAATTGTATAATTGACTGGCCTGTTGTTGATAAATAACCGGACAAAATGTACCAATCACAAGATAAAGAGTAACAAGATCAAGTTAATCAAGATCAATCACAATTACTGTTAAAGGCTGATCAAGATGATGCTGATGAAGATTGAATAACCGGATATCGAAGTTGATGGTTATTAGATTCAATTGAAAAGGTCAACAAAGGTAAATGTTAGCCTAATCACCATCATAATGATAATGATGATGATCAAGGATCAGGATGATAATTACTGCGATTTTGAAAGACTAATTCAAGGAGTGTCTTTTTGTTTACCGTGTTAATCAGCTGATGGAAAAGTATTACACAATTTGTCTCTAGATGAACATTAAGTATCAATGTTGAAGATTAATTAACCGTTTTAATCAAGTGAAAGTGACCTGACCTTATAATTAATATGGCATTAATGTGAGAGTTGTAAATTGATGCATCACTAACTAATGATGTATTTTAAGCGTATTGACAACATTGGTAAATATTGAATGATTTTCCCGAGTCTTGCTGTTTATATTTGCTGTTAGACGTTAACACTTGTGTTTAAAACAATTTCAGGTTAAATCCTAACCTTGACCTCAACCCAACACTATCAACCTATTTATTGTTGACCCGATATCATTGATGATGGTTATGATGATTGACTGTTAATTTCATTGTCATTGTTATCAACATTTCCGTGATACACTTAATCTTCTTTTTGTTTCGACTACTCTTTTTTTTACTGTTCATCATTCAACTCATCTTTTCACCTTCCACTTTCATCTCACGGTTTTCTTTATCTCTCTTTTCTTGCTTTTAGATATTTGGTTGCAATCATCACCATCACAGTCATCATGTAATGCATGTTACACATTATCATGGCTTCTGTATTTGGATAATCAACATTTCATGATCTCAAGCCTAACTGGAATGGATTTCCTTAGGATCTTACAGGCAAAAGCAAAAAGGATTCAAGTTTAAGGTTTTCTGCTTCAAACAATTTAACCCGGTGAGAGAGTAAATAAAGAGACAAAAGCAAAAACAAAAACAAGGACAACATTTATTAAGGAAACTGGTTTAGCCATTTTTTTTCTTATATTCATGATACTGTACGGATTGACATGATTTTGTTGTTACCGTATTTAACAACAACTGCTGTTGAGTCAGTCAACTTATTGTGGTTTACATTTTATCAACAGTAATTATTAATCATGAGGACGATGTTGATGATAATTACTGGTGATGCTTGGTGTTTATTTACCAGTCTATTCATTTAGTCTGCTGCTAATGGTTACTTTGGGATTCTGTTTGGCAGCCTTTCGAGGCTTGCCGTGATTAACCTGTCCGTTTGTCGTCAATTTTGGCTGTCTCGATCCACCCATTGAAAGTGTTGAAGCATTTTTGCGAAAAAAAGGAGCAAACAAATTGGATGGTCAATCAAATAATCTTTAGCTGATCAAATTAAATGAAAGACACTGAGACAATTTGTATTTATTTACCAAAAATAGGATTAAGAGGATCATTTTAATCTTTAACAAGCTCTTGAATTTTGAGGCTGCCAATTTAACCTTATAGAGGCTCAATATTGCTGCAATTTAAATGGATATCAATAGATTTTAATCTGTTCATGTAAATGTTAACTCTAAACCACAACAACACCAACAGCACTGCCAACAAAGCTTCGTAACAGCTACCAAACAGCATCTGATTGTTGATCAAGCAAGGATTGGTAGCTGATTGTAATATTTATATGTTATGAGTGAGAGCAAAAGAGTGTCTGTTTAATTGAATTAACCACCAAATTAAGTGTAAAATTGAAAAGTGAAGTGAAATTTGTGATGTAATATGTTGATAACTGTTGGATAAGCCTAAATCTGAACGGTGTTCATTTATAGTGACTGTTGATTAATTGTTGATGGAAATTAATGGAGTTAACTCAGCTTAACATCTTAATCTTTTCTATTGCTTATTTACTCTGAGAATTTAATGTAAATAATTTATCTAGATCAACATCATAATAAATTATATTTACATGTACATGTAATATATTTACACCAAGAAATGGTCAAACAATCAAACAAATCTTTTTCACAAGTTCAATCAAATAATTGAAGGCAAAATTTTCAAATTATTTTGAACAATTTTGCATTTAAAACTCAACAAATTGTATTCACATTTTTCAATCAAATGTGTTGACTTGGAAAATACCGTTGGACTCATCAATTACTGGCTCGCATATCTCATCATTAAAGTTGACCAGTTTTAATTACCATCATTTTGTTTCACAATCAACTTGTATCAAAATTTTGTTGCCCTAAATTCAATTGGTGAATCTAAATTTGACTGCCTTAAGGTAAAATAAATGATTTCCTTATATCTTGTTTTTTCACCAATTTGGCCATTGTTATGACTTGAATTTAACTTTCACTTTTTTTTCTTGATGTATTAGATTGGAATGAACGGAAATCTCCAGTGAATCTTGAAGAAATTGATGATTAAAGAGGAAGAAGAAGGTGGACAGAGAAGAAGATGATGATCATGATGATGAAGAAGAGAGTTTATTCTTATAATTCGTTGAACCGTAAATTGCTTGGGCTTCTTCGCCTTCAACATCACCATCATCAAGATTAACCCTCAAGACATATTTTCACCCGATTTTGTTTTACTTCTTGTTCATCATCTCTGCCTGTCATACCTTATTTAAACAAACAGGTCTTCATTATAATAATCAACGCAATCGTCTTCCAATAATTCAACTTGTTTAGCCTGAAAGGTCAACATGAGAAAGAAAAATGTGTTTCTTTTTCTTGGCGAAAAAGCATGAAAGTGAAAACACATTTCGTTTTTTGCGCTTTATTTTGCTTTTTCAATTCATTTCTTTTTGCTTCTTTTGGGCCTTAAATCATTATTAAATGATTAATTAATCTTGATTTACTTTTTTTCTTTCTTCTGTAGATTTCATAACGATTCATCTTCCTTGCGGAAGCAAATCACCCATCATCCTTGTATTATCAACTCGCATCTTCAATTGGCTTTAAAGTGATTCTCATCCATGTTGGTGGTTACAGACTGTGTCAATGTGTCTTCGGAATGATCAATGAATGACCAATGGTTTCGACTCTTCAAGATCGATTATAAATTTTAATTGTGGCTGGTGTAATTTAACAACTTTTGGCTTCTATTCAATTCGTTAAATGATTGATTTGTTTGATTAAACAACTATTAAGATTAGGCACTGATTATACTGATCTACATGTTGATTGGAAATGTTACTTTTTCACTTTTAATGGTACAATTCATGTTTATTGCTTGGTTTGCATTTAGACTTATCAGTTGAATATAATTTGTGAATTGGTTACTTCAAATCACCAATTTGTTTATTCACTCAAATAATTTGATCAGAAAAAATCAAATTGAAAATTCATATTTGTAATACAATAAAATTTGACTACAATTATTGTTACGGAAGTCATTTTGTTGACTCTAATATGGATTAATTAAGCATGATATGTAATTAGTAATGACATCAGGATCAACAGGTTAAAAAATTGTAATTATTACTTGGTATACTTGGGTTTGGTCAGTTTTAATGAAATCAAAACGAGTCCAACTTTCATTATTATTATTGCTACTATCACTTACGGACTATTGGTTTTATTTTGTTTTAATTACCTTCAAATGGGAAGAAGTCTATTACAATTAGGCTAAAGATTAAACTTTAATTGTTAGTTAATACTGCTTTTTACTTGCTTCAAACCTTCGATCTAGATTCAGTTGAACATTCATTTAATATTTCCAAGATCTGCTATTAAAATTATCATTAAATACTCCAAATGGGTCAAATGATGAAACCCAGTACTAAAACCATGTCCGCTTTAATTGTAAGATGTCGATAGTGTCTTAATCTTTAAACTTTAATCAATTGAATATCAACAGTGGAGGTTTCCCGGCATCCAAAAAATGGCCAATATCAGATGTTAAGGTGAACCAGCTTTGAAGAAACTTTAAATAAGCTGGAAAATCATTGACTATTAGCAACACTTTATATTATATTTATGTAATTTGACTTATAATCATAAATCTATTCAAAAAATTGTTAAATATTGATTGATAATCAGTCTGAGACATGACACTTTCCATGTCTCATAATGTTGCTGAGTTGTTTTGGTTTCATCTTTTTATATCTTTTACGGCTTACTTGATTGTTTGGTTACCAACTGGCCGCGTAATTCAATTTTTATTCAAATCGGGTGAGTGTTTTATTTATGGTAATCAAAATGCTGAAATTGCATTTTTCAAGTAAAAGATGGCAATTAATTATCGCGTATTCAATCATTGTTGAGATCAATTTTTATTGAATTACTCTTTCTTTTTGTTATTGCTCCAGCTCAACCCAATCTCTTTGTCTTTCATCCATAGGAGCAATTGTTTTGTTTCAACAGCTTGTTGGTCAGATTATTGGTTATCTATCAGTGTTTTGATTTTTTCATTGTTATTCTGGCTATTAATAGGAAACCATGGAAGATCCTGACATACTTATTCCTACAGAAGGTGATTTAATTGTACCAATTCAAGTTAAATATGAATGTAAGTTTACTTTTACCTTTGTTCCTACTCAAAAATTTAACGTTAATTTGTTTTTAATTTTTAATGGCTTTCGTTGTTATTTGTTTCCCATTCTTGATGGTTTACAGTTCTTGACCACACAGCCGATGTCCAGTAAGTACAAAAATACCTTCTCTTGAATGCAATTTAATACGTTATTGAAACATAATTTTTCAATTTTCACTTTTCTTTACATTCAGAATCCATGCTTGTATGTATAAAACCAATCTCGTAATTCCACCTGGTGGGTATAGTTTTCATTTAATTAATTCAATTGATTTTCATGTTTCAGGGGGTGATTCGTTGAAAGAAGCCTTTGAACAAGCTGCTGTGGCTATGTCAGCTTACATGACCGACATCAAGTCCGTCTCGATTGATAAAGTAGTTGAGATTCAGGTTCAAGGCGAAGATATGCTTTCTCTGTTGTACCAGTTTTTGGATGAAGTTTTATTCCTTTTCAATGCAGAGCCAAATTTAATTTGCAAGGTATGTCATGCAGGGAAAATCTGTTTAATGATAGGTTTAAATTAAATTTGATTCACGAAAAACTATAATACGCCATTTCTCTATCATTTTATTTCAGAAAGTGGAGATAGTCGAGTTTGATCAAGAAGAGTTCACCATAAAGGCTCGATGTTGTGGAGAGGTATTCGACTTGGATAAACACCCTCAAGGAACAGAAATCAAGGCTATAACTTATTCAAATATGCAGATACACGATAAAGAGGTGTATGTAATAATCGACATTTGAAGAATTGTAATTTACTGATTGTCTCTACTGTTACCCAAAAGACTCAATAAATCGATTATTTTTGGATGCAAAAATGATCATATAACTATTCATTAGGAGTGAAAAGCGCTTGCATCTTCAATGACTAAACTGTGAAGTCACTTTGTATAGAAATTGGTCGAAAACTTTTTGAAATCTAAAAAATACTAAAACAGTAGATTGGAAGGAAACTCGTGGTTGGAAATAAGGTTCACAAAAATCCGATGATACGTTATCCGTTTGAAAAGATTTTTATTTTAAGGTTTATAGTGGATTTTAACATCGTCTATTGGATACTGGATGCATTAGAGGCTATCCTAGGCCAAAGATCTGCACATTCCTTAGCTACTGGACCAGTGATGGTTGAACCTTTCATTTCTCCTTTGTTGTTGACGATGACACCAGCATTATCCTCGAAGTAGATGAAGACACCATCCTTCCTGCGGAAAGGTTTTCGTTGTCTTACAACGACTGCTGGCATAACCTTCTTACGAAGCTCAGGTTTACCTTTTTTAACTGTGGCGACGAACATGTCACCACAACCGGCTGCAGGTAAACGATTAAGTCGTCCTTTGACACCAGCTACAGCAATAACATAAAGATTTTTGGCTCCAGTGTTGTCAGCACAATTGATAACAGCACCAACCGGTAAACCCAATGAGATACGGAATTTAGCTCCCGCAGTACCACCACGACCTAAGATTATTCAATAGATTTCATTAGTTAAAGGTATAAATTGATACATACTTAAACAAAAAGACAATAATTACCTCTCTTAGTCATTTTTAATTATAATATAAATTTAACTCAAACTAGATTAATTAAACAATACACAAGTTAACTTACACTAACCAAAAACACAAACCGAATTGGAAGTGAATAAAATTGATTTCCTTTTCCGGACATAGTTTTACAAATGCTACTAGAAGATGGCGCTCAAAACTGTTGCTCAAACTAAATTCTGCCAAAGTCAATTTCAAACTTAGGATAAGTGTCTTGAGATTTGTGTTATTTATAATTATATTTTAATTGTTGAACATTGAAAATAATTTATAGTTTAATTCCTGCCCAAATTATATTTTCGTGACTTAATTCAACAACTCTTTATACGCGACTTATTGTCGCTCGCTCAATTTTAATCTCATTCGTGGATAATTAGCATAAATTCATTTGTAATAAATTTGTGTTTGTTAATTTTTTCTTTGTTAATTTCAGCATTGCTCATTTTTCACAGCAAAGTGGCGGTTTGAAAACACTGACTGAGTATTCACTGAATTACTTAAAGGCTTATAACAATATTTTCATATGTAAAAGCAAAAAAAATTTCTGAAGGTTCAATAATTTAAAAAGTCGGGAAAATCTAGTTTCATTTATTAAAGAAATTAGGAAACAGTTTATATTTAAAGATCTTTCTAATGATCCTTTAATCAAATATTTGAAAATTTTGACGGTTTAAAAATGAACGGATTTTTCGACTTTATGATTTTAAGTATTGATTTAAAGTCAAAACTTGGTAAGGACACTTCTTCGGCTCATAATTTTTCAAATTGTGGCATTAATTTCAAAAACAATAGTGAAGATGAAGTAAATATTTGGTGGTGATTAAGATGATTCTGGTAAATCCATCAAAAAATGAAAGACGAGATGATAAATTGTCCAAGCTGAGTTTTTGATTCATTGCTCGTTCAGAGGAGGAAAAAAATTGAAAATAAACAATAAGATAACTTGTGAGGGCAATTGTTGCTTCCTTGAGCGAGCTGGAAAAAATTAAAGATAATTTGATAAAAGTCTTTATGTATTCCTTTTTTCCTTATCAATTTTGAATAATTATAAATTAGTGTGATTGATTTCCAAATTAGTAGGAACGATTAATGCATAGCCAAGGTCTTGTTAGAACGTAGATGAAAGGCCTAGGAATGCTCAAAGTCTAGAAAAGATATAATACAGAAATTGTAACTTAAAAACAGAACAATCAGTAGGTATTAACATCATAGGTAATAGTGCATAGCAGCAGTAAGATCAAATGTAATTTATAAATTACGTTGATTTGATTATTGCACCATTTAAGAAAAAATATGATGTAAGATGAAGATATTGTGACAATTTGGGGATGACTCAATTCATTTATAATCAATTTGTAAAAAATAAAATTCCATTAAATTTCTAGCAACATCTAACTCCACACATCAGCAGAATATCTTCTTTGAACTTCCATTCTCTTAATATAAGCATCAGCTTCTTGACTTGTTTTGCCACTTTCTTCCATAATAGTAGATAGAATGATATCTCGAACATCCCGAGCCATGTTCCTGGCATCACCGCAAATATAAATGTGACCTTTCTTCTCCTCGATAAGATTCCAAAGCTCTTTCTTATTCTGCTTAAGAAGGTGAGTAACATAAACCTTCTCGGGTTGATCACGAGAGAAAGCTGCATAAAGCTTGGTGAGAGCACCAGATTTCAGACTTGCAGCCAATTCTTGTTCGTAAAGATAATCTTCAGCTTGTTTCCTACACCCGTAATAGAGAATGGCTTCACCTAAAGGTTTTCCTTGATCTAACATCCATTGGCGTTCTTGGATGAAACCCATAAACGGAGCTAAACCAGTTCCAGGACCAATCATCAAAATGGGAACCTGAGATTTAGTTGGTAACTTGAATTGAGATCGACGGACAAAACAAGGAGCAACGTGGTTGCCATTTGGATCCATTGTTTTTAGCCAACCAGTAGTAACACCACGAACAATTCGACCGGTAAATGATTTATATTCAACTAAAACAGCAGTGATACTAACACGCTCTGGATTAATCTTGGGTGAAGATGAAATTGAATAATAACGTGGCTGAAGTCGAGGCATAAATTCAAGCAGATGATCCAATGGAATTTTACAAGAAGGTAAATCTTCAAGCACATGAACAATACTACGGGCACTCTTTATTATCCATTCAGAGTACAAGGCTTTTCCTTCATCCGTAGAGCTGCTCATCTTTTTCAACATTTCTTTATCTGCTTCATTGGTTGCATAATCTGCCAATTCTTTAAGTACGTGAGTTCTTGGGGTATGGCAGATATCCACGTAATGAGTTAACGCTGTTCGATAGCTGCAAGGACATGGGAATGGGTTTTTCTTGGAACTATCCTCGTCAACATTTTTCAAAGAAATAACAGTATCCAAATCAACTTTTAATAATTCTCCAAGTTTGTTGACAATTGAAGAATCATTCTGAGGATAGATGGCAAGGTGATCTCCAGCTTCATATCTAATAAGGAAAGAGACAAGAGTTGAAATAACTGATTAATACTTACAACAAAAATACAATGAATGTAAAACAACTAACCTTATTTTAGAGCCAACTAGATCAAATTCAACATGCATACACGAACGGTCTCCTTTGTATAGTTCTCGGTTCACTACGATAGGTGCCAAGAATGGATTTTTAGCATCAAATGGTCTGAATGAAAAAAAAACAAAAGAATTGAATTCATTGTATTCAAATAAAAGCCAAAGTATTAAATTAAATGCAAGTGAGGTCAACAATAATTTGTAAGGTAATACTACTAACGGTCTTTGCTTTCTGTATGATCCAAGTCTGGCGATTTCTCCAACGTAAATTGCTTCTTTAGGTAAATCATTGTGCACTTCTAATTCATATTGTCGCAGATTAATGTCTTCTCCAGATAATTGGACATTGAAAAGGGAACAAACAGAAGACCAAAGCTGTTCTTTCCATGTGATAAAATCTTCTTCGATGCTAAGACGATAGAAAAAATAAAATATATTTTATTACACTTTAATTTAAACTGTTACTTTTATTACTGTAATTTTCTAACTCAGATCTATTACAGTAGTATTTAATTCATTTACTTACTTTGCATCATCATCACCCATGCCCAATTCATGAACTCTATTTGCACCTAACTCTGCAAGTCTTTTGTCAATATATTTACCAAAAGCATTGAAGTGTTCATAAGTTTTGTTACCCAATCCAAAAACCTAAAGGAAAATTTAAGCAAAATTAAAATCATTTTTCTTTTAGTTGAAGGATAGCCCTTAAGCAAAACTCAATGATTCTCAAATAAAAGCTAAATTACCGAGAAAACTTACGGCATAATTTAATCCATTGAGGTCTACAGTTGTATTTTGAAGCCATTCATTGAGATCTAAAGCATTATCCGTAGGGTCACCTTCACCGTAAGTGGCCACACAGAAAATGGCCAAAGAGTTCGGCAGTGTATTCAAGTTAGTCAATTCTTCAATATCACATTCTTCAGGGTCTGCAACTAAGGCCTTCATCCCATAGCGAGCTGACTCTTTAGCTAATCGAACAGCAAATTCCTCTGCAGTACCGGTTTGTGATCCATAGAAGACAACAATGTTTCTACCCTGAGATTATCATAAGAATATTCATTAAAAATAATTAGCAATAGTTTGATCATTTCAATGAAATTTTTTAAAATAATAAAGGAATCTTAGAAGCCAAAAATACTAAATCAGGTTGTTTCAAAATAAATTGTACATTGCAAATTAAAAATTTAGCTTCAAATGCAAATCTTTTATATTTTGTTTACCTTTAAAAAAAGAGACTAGCAAAGCAACTTGCTGTGCAACTATATCCTCTTATCAGATTCAAACAAACACAAGTGATGTTGCAAATTGTAAATTCTAGCTCTTTCTAACGTCAAAGCAAGTTTAGAATGAAAATAACAAAAAAAAACTTACAGTTGATTTCATTTTGTTAACGAAACCAGAATCACTAATACTGTTACTTCGATTGGGTTGAGTACTGCAATGATAAAAAAAGATGACAATGAAGAAAGATCCATTTTAAGATATGGCCAATGGCATTCACAAAACATAAGAAACTCAGACAATGGTACTCACTCTACGGTGAAACTCTTGATTGATTTAGTATCAAATTCATTTGATTTACGTTTGGTTAAATAATAATATGCACCAAGACCACATATAACCAGGGTTAAGAAAACTTCAAAACTAATAATTGATCCTTGATTAGGCGATTCTTCCATCTTGTGACAAGTTTAAAGTTGTACTTCTGTTGTAATTGGTTGAAAAAAATTTACATATAGTCAGAATGAAAGTGTGTAGATGATTCTGTGGTCATAAACGTTGATCAAAACATGGGCCCAAAAGGTGAACAGAATGAGCACGGATCGGTGAATTATAGATGTCAATTGAAGAAAATAATATTAGCGGGGAAAAATTGTGGATAAAATAATGATTAGATGAATAAATCAGAACAAAAACACGAGAGAAAAACAAATCAGTTTGTATTATTACCAACGTGACTTGATAACAGCAGATGACTGTTTGGAGCAAACTCGTTGGTTTAGTAATTTGGCAAATAGATCGTAAGAAAGCTGGGAAACAAGCAACCAAGCAACACAATCAACAGGCAGCAATCAATGTCAACCGTTTAGTTAGTTAACTACTTTACCACTAACCTGAAAAAAAAGTGAGGGAGAAAAATGTTGAAAGGGAGAGGAAAAGAGTGAGAATGAGAAATGAGTAGAAAAAAGAGGAAAAGAGAGAAAGAAAGGGATTAGAAAGTGAATTGAAAAAGGTTCAGTCCAAAGAAGTTTGGGTTTTGAAATTCCATGATTTCGTTATTGACGACAAAGGTCCACAAGGTCAACCAGAAATTGCAATGGCTCATTTAAGAAAATTAAAACCTGATTTCTCTAAGAAAATTATCGATATAATGATGCCTGTGTACAACATTGACCGTGGAAAATGAAATTAAAGACGTAAATAAACATCTAACTGTAAAGTTAATGATCTCCTAATTTAATCAAATTGTACTATTGTACTATTTACATTTCTGGTACGTGATGGTCAACAGAATCAATGATATTTAATCACTAGAAGGCACAGTTGCAGAGAAAGTCTGACCAAAGCATTTGCATAGACTAATCCAATGATTGTAAAGGAGAAACCGTCCAATTGAAATTTAAAAATTTACCAGTCGAGATAGCTTTGATTTCCTGGATCAAATTTGGATTGACTTCTTGGCAGGCGTTTGAATTGCTTGAACTGGCTTGTCAAATTTAATCAGCAGACATTGGTATCAAACCTATGGATAAATAGTGGACACAGGTTAGTAATGTTTTAACATGGGATGTTTACTTTGATTCAAGACTTGAAGCTTTGTTGCATACATCAACGTGTCAGAAATACTAGTGTAGAGTAATCTCATTTTGGGACGCAACTTGCAAGATTATCACACTTTTAGGATTGAATGTTAAGGTAAAAAATAGTGCCCTTGAGTTGATTAAATCCTCTAATTAGAGGATTTAGCTATTTATCTAAATGATTAACTAAAAAAGAATGGTGTAATATTGATTTGAATTTGCAGATATAATCAGAATGACGGAACAAACCTAGAATCAAACAAAATCAAGTGTATGAAAGTAAAAATTTAGATTTAAAATAGCTCAACATTTGTTTAACCATTCATAGGAAATCACGAATCAATCGATAATCAAGTGAGATCGTGATTAAAGGGAACAAGGTTCAGTTAAGGACAGTTGGCCTTAAACAGCTGATTCTAGAAAGCTATTAAATGAAATTGTTTTTAACAGCTATTCGTATTAGTCACACGACTTAGTCTGATGAACGAGCTTTTAATCTAATCAGATAAAGTGATGATAATAATATGAACTTCTCGAGAATCAGTCTTACAGAGTTAGCTAATAATCTAGTTTCAAGGAATAGCTCCAGAACCAAAGCACTTTAAACACACTGTTTTTAATAACACTAATTTCCAAGTAACTGGTTCAACTTACTTTTCACTAAAATGCAATCATTGGTGACCAACGCGTTGAGGAAACATGTAAATTGCCAAATCAAGTGCTAATTGAAAATAAAAAAGCAACAGTTAAAAATAAATACAAATCATCAAATTAGTAACTGTACACATCAGACATAAGACTTTATCACATGTTAGCCTTGACTTACAGGAGTATTTCCGTTAACATAAGGGTATATCTTTGTTTTGCTATCTATTTTTCACTTGTCTTACTTTTTAACTATTTAATTATTGTATATTGAATTAATTTAATCACTTCACTTACCCTGGTTGATTAACATTGTTCAAATTTCAATAGGATTGTTATAAGGATTCTGAAATTCACCCTGGACCAAGAAAATCATATCCTGTTACAGCAAATTGTTCCGACATTTGAATTTTTGATGTTGTTACCATATCGCGATCGTGTTATTTGTCCATATACTGTCATTCCTCTCATCCGGAAAATGCAGGTTAACCGGATAAATGTGATTTAATTTGTTTTTTCTTTCCAAACGAGCTGCCATTGTTACCTTTTACACTAATTGGGAGTAAGATTATCACTTTCAATAATTTCAATTGATAGCTTTAAAGCAAGATTTAAAGGAGTCTTTGTTGGTCAACAGCTGATGTAACCCATGTGAACCCATGTAAGACACATCTTTCATTTTCCTGTAAAGATTCTGTAGTTCGATCTTCGTATCTAAGGATTATTACCATCAACATTAACCCATGGAAATTTTTTATAACTCAATCGATGTACAGGTAATAGGCATTAACCTTTTACCGTTTTAACGTTATTTTTGATTCTTTCTCATACGTTTCAGGTAGTCGAATTTTATGGAACATTTGACTCGTCATCGACACTATTTTGAAAGTCTTTTGGAAACCTTGAATTCTAATCAACCTTGATCGTTAGCATAATTTGGTACTAAATAATTAAGAGTGTCCCTCATGAACTGATCAGGAAGATAAAAAGAAATGGTTCTGAAGATGGAAGTAAATGAAATGAAAAAAGAGGAAGACTACAATAGAGGAAATTTGGAAGGAAGAAAAGCAATTGATTATCTTGTTTGACTTGATCTGCTATTTTAATTTAGCTAATAATCGTTAGACACAATCAAATAATATGATCTTACCATTGGGATATTGAATTGAAAGAAAGTGAAATTTCAAACAATTGAAAATGTACATTTAAGGACTGATGATTTGTGATCACTTCCGACAAATTGACCTAGATTAAGGAGTCTTCCATTATTTTTTTTTTTTGCTTTTTCAACGTGAAGGTAAAAAAAGTGAAAATGAAATTAACAATCTAAAGGTAATAATAACAACAACAACAATGCTATAATCAAACCGGGAAAACAACTTCACTCAAGCACAGTACAAGAAAAGACGCTTTTTTTACGGTCCCCTTAACGTAACTTTTTCATTTTAATTGTGACTCTCTTTATAAATTGTGGAAATGTTTGCTCAACTATTTGAAATATTGGGATAAGATTACTCATTCAAATAAGATAATCTATTCGTTTTCATATTGAATTTAAGGTCAAACAATAGATCAGCAAAATGTTAAGTTCATGTTGACGATCACTTCCAAGAACAGCTAAATTACTTATTAACATAAACGACCATCAGTTAGTTTATTGATTCATTAAGAGTTGTTAAAATACTGTAATTTATTAGGAACCAAATGATTGCTATTACAGCCAATTGTAAATTTATATTTTTGACAAATTTCAACATTGAATCATTAACAGCGGACAATTAATGACACTTGCTTAAAAATTGTTGTTAACAATGAATCTGTAAACACTAAAAGTTGCGGAAAATTTGACGTTAACCAGCACAATTGAGAAATTTCAGGTAATAACAAACAAAAGATGTATCTTTTGAGTTATTAAGTTAATGAATGAATGCCTAGCTTAATCGATGGCTCAGTGACGTTGAAGGAACGTCACCCTGTACGTAAATCTTGTTTAGCAACTTGCAATTTAATTAACTCCAGGGCATTACATATTGAATCTATTTATAATTCTTGCTTTTTACTGCATCGTTGAACTTTTATCAACACCAATATCTTTTAGTACTTGAAATTTTACTGTCGTCTGTGTTTGTTTACAAAATAAGCCATTTTTGTCCCTTTGGCGTGGGTATTCCAATCTAATTTTTCATGTGTTGATGACGGTGATGAAATGAAAGTTACACTTTCTTGATATTTTGTTGATTCATTTATTAAACAATTTGACTTCATTGGGCCACCAAAAAGGCTTGAAAGTTTCAACTTTGATTAAATTATCACTGGTTTTGATGTAACCGGTTGTTTGACCCTTTAAAATTGTATTCTCAACATACATAAGTCCTAATCCAAGATGTCCACGGCCAGCTCTTAATTTACCCAATCTTGCTCCATCATTTTTGCTGACAATATCACAATTTGCATGATTTTGTAGATTTTCTTGACTATCGGTGTTGATTAAACGAATGGGCAACAATCTCTTTCTTACTACTCCGGTATGGTGAACTCTAGCAGTTAATTCTTGTCCTATGTAACATCCTTTGTGAAAACTAATTCCATGCAGAAAATCACCATTACATTCATGAGGAAGACAATTTCCATCGGGATGATCGGTTGCACCTTCACCTATGCCTGTAAATAAGAAAGGAAAGGTTAATTAACGTGAAATAAGAAGTGTAATGGACAAAATTCATACCAGATTCGTATCGATATTTTGTGTAGTCTTCAATAGTTGATTCGATGAATGGAAAGTTATACTTTTTTTCCAGTTGGGTTAAAATTTCCTTCTTATCACAATTTTTGTCAATCAAACATCTGTAGTGGTTTTTAATTCTGGGATCAACGGTTATTAGGCAGTTGGAGCTCTTTGAATGATCTATTTTGGGAAATATTGCTTGATCGTCCACCATTTCACCAGGATATAAAGACCACACATTGTACCTATCATCAGGATAATTAATGTTAACTTTACTTTTCAATTTATGTAGTTTAAGATGTCGAAAGAGCTTATCACTTATTGAATTATCCACTTCAATTAATAATTGCTCATCGGCAGAAGCTATCTTTGGTTCACTGGAATCTTCACTTTCTTCTTGCAAATTTTCATTACTGTTATCACCATCATTTTTACCTACATGATTGTCATAAATAAATGCATCTAAAAATACTCGACCATTAGGATGCAAGAAAAGTGTATATATACATGATAGATGAACACTGGTTGTTTGATTAGGATACAAATGTCTAACATCATTTGTAATTAATCCTTGTAAAAATCGGTAACAATGTTCACCTCTCACCAAGATCAGCTTTTTGTTGGTTAAGTTGACAGCTTTGAAAGAATGAGATCTTCTTAATACAAATGAATGGAATTTGAATAATTTTAAAAAATTATGAACCATAATTGAAAGCTAAATTGAGTAGATTAAGAAGGTTTTCCATCAAGATTGAATTAACACATGATAAATAAATACTTTTAAAGGTTAAAACATGATCAACATGCAACTTCAAAACATTGAATCTGCAAACATTTAACCGCTCATTTCAAACAGAAGAACTAGTTAAAAGATTGAATTTACGTAAGCTACAAAATATTCAACGATAATTTGATAATTTTTAAGAAATTCAGCTCAAAAATATAAAATAATTCAAGCTTTTAACTTTAAATTGCGAGCCACAATTCAATTAATCCAAATAAAACTGAAAATGATTGTTACATTCGATATATCGATTTTGCAGTTGATACATCGAACAAAGTCAATGTTTCTAAACATAAATTCAAATTTTTTGGTTTTTTGGTTTCATTAATCATTTCTCAACATAATTACAACATTTTACACCAAATATTTCGATATGTGAGGATTGGCAATTTATTTTATTGAGGTTGTTATTTTAGACCATCTCAAGTCTCGGAAATTTTGCTATAAGTAATATGCTTCAAATTGTTCCAACTAATCCGTCTAAATGCTGTCAATGTAAACCTTGTTAAATGGATTGGAAAGTTATTGGTTTTAAAACTTGATCATTTGTTGATCATTTTTTCGCATGTAACTGTAAATATTACTCTAATCGAGTAAATGAATGGAGAGTAAAAATATCAAAATGCCGAAAGAAAGGATAACATGAAGAGAGGAAAGATGTAAAGAAAATGATGATTCGATGATTCAAAAGTTGCTGAAGATAATCAAGTTTACTAAAACTTGACCGTGAACCCGTTTACCATTTTCTCATCGTTTAATGTATCAGTTATCTGTTATTTACTGATCAGTAAACATCCCCAGTTTTAATACAGTTTATGTTTCAACAAAACGGGTTCATTGAGCCCTATGGAGATGTCTAACCCTTATTTTGGTTCTTCCGGCTTGTCAATTATCAAGGTAAGACCAATTATAATATTCTGACTTAATCTAACACAGACATTTTCTCAGAATCTCTCATCAAACTGCCAATTGATCGAAAAATTGCTCAGCCTAATCAGAAACCTATTGTCTAAATTCTTACTAATCAAAATCACTCTTTCCTATCAAAACCTCTCGACGTACCACGAATCACAGATTCAATCAAATTAGTTAGTCTCATGCCCTAAAGATTTACTAAACGTCTACATTTACAAAGTCGCTTAATTACTGGTCAATCCTTGGATCTGTGGAATTAAAGAGTGCTCATCAGTTTTATATAAATCTCTCTGGTTAATCTCAATGGCTGCAGTTACATAATTTAGGAGAATGGAAAGTTGACTGAGAGACATGAGAAAAAAATCAATCAAAACACTGATGTGACTATTTTTATTGGTTGTATTTAGCATCTATTTAACTTGTTTTAACCTTTATTAAGTATTTTTGTTGACCTAGAAAAATGATATTCAGGATGATCGTTTTCGGGTGAAAGGGCCAACCCGATCTTTCTCATTCAAAACCCATTAAAACAAGTCAAATGGTTAATAAACAGGTCTGATGTACTTTTTGTACCATCAGTTGATCTACAATGAATTAACTAATTATTATACAATCAATAGCCTAAAGGTTTTCTGTTCAATGTCAAATGGATTTTTTTACAATAATATAAAACAGTTGACCCAAACAATCGTATCAACCAGAATGCCCTTTTCATCATTTAATAATTGTTAATCTAATTTCTCATTTTGTCTTTCATTTAGATTACTCCAAAACTATGTCTTTTGATTGGATTATTACCAAACATTATTTCTGGCTCATTAATTGGTAAAAGATTTCTATCTTTAACTTCAAGTAAAAGCCCAACATATGACCTATCATCAGCCGGAACTCAATCAAATTATGGTTACGAACAAAATGATTTCACTGATTTCAGCTCATCAATGTCATCTATGTCACCATCTTCACCTTCATCAACATCCTATTCAACCAATTCAGCATCATATGGATTACCAAATACAAAAGCTTACTCTCAATCATCAGACCCATTAGATGCGTTTCCAAGTTCCTCTATGGCTCAATCATACCCAAATTCAGCTGGTGGTAGTTATCCTTTCCCCAAATATAGTCCATCCTCTATGGGTTATCCAGGAAAACCAGCCATGAATCGGTTCAATTACTATGGTCAACCAATGAGAACATCCAATTCATTTAATTATCCATCATCTTCATTATTACCTTATGGAGGTTTACCTTCTTCTTCTCGTTATGGGTCTTATCCTCAATATTCATCTAGATTCAAGGGTTATTATCCTTATCATAGGTAAGTTATGACAATATCTGAACAATTATTACAACTGTACTCAGATAAGTATAATAAAGTCGTCGATACAAATCAATGGAAAACAATAAAACCAACTGCTGATGTTTGCTATTCATTTGAAAAGTAAATTTCGCAAGTTGCACAAATCACACGTTGTTTATGATAAACTAATTTCAATTTCATTTTTTCTGCTGTCTGCTCAATTAAATTAGATTTGGTAATAGACTGAGACGAAATGGCTATAAACCAAGATATTACAAAGGAAGATATTCCAAGCGATACCGTAAACCATATTATTACGGGTCACGTCGTTATCGATCAAAATACAATTCAGATTATGACTACTACCAGGATTCCAGGGAAACTGATTCACACATTGCTTCAGAATCATCTCCAAACGAAACATTTTATTCCTTTTCAACAAACAATAATTCAGGATCCAAAGATTATCTTAAAATTGGTGGAATTGGCAAGTAAGGCAAAAGACTGAAATAATCAATATCTAATCCAATCCTAATCTTAATCTTTTAATTTTTATTTTCAGCAATATTCTAAGTTATTTGGCTGGTTCCATATTAAGAGGTGACCCTTCAAAAGTAATTAACACTAATTCAACTACAAATTCAAGCTTAGATGCATCCAAAGAGCCATATGATGGACCCTTCATTCAATTTGGCGAAACTAAAATCACATTGAAAACCAATGATAAGGGTGGAATCACGGTGACGGTCGGGCGGAGTAAAATGTAATCTTTAACCATTGCCACAAGATAAATCAACTTTCCGTTATAAATTGTCATTTTAAAGTGCATTTTGTATTAACCAAACAAACTTATCGTGTTGAACTTTGAATTTACTTTGTCAATCAATTTACAAAAAAGATACAAATAATAATTTGTAAAAAAATGCAACATTTAATTTAAAAAAAGATAGTTTTTTCAATAATTAATTCAAATTTTATGCATTTCTTTTGCAATTCTTGACTAATTAGGTAAAAATTTGCTATTCAATCTCGAATTATTGTAATCCTTTATCTCAACCCTCCGAATTATAGATATCATTAATGGTTTTTTGCTAATGATGATACGAAAAACAACAAACAATATGAACAATTGATGGGATAAAAACTAGCGTAACAGCTTGTCAATTGATTAGATATTATATTGAAAATAATGCCACTCATTTGTGTGACAATTAAACAATTTGTGATAGTTTAGATCGCTATACCAATTCAAATGTCTTCAATAAAGGTTTATCTTGAACGAGTGAGTAACATCAGTGAAAACTATACAAACAACCATCTTTCTTTTAGAGGCCTTGTTTTGCCTTTGCCTTGCTCATTGTAATTTTATATCTGTCGTGTGCATGTACCTTTCTCTTTACATATTTCTCTTTATTAATAACTAGCTTATTTTTCAATCAATCGTGTTTACTTTATTTATCAATATCAACTCTAATTTGACTTGGATCATTTGCTAAGGTGATCTCAAAAGCAATGGCTCAGGTTAAAAAGGTTCAAATATTTGGACAATCTTCTCAGTCAAGAAATTCTACTGCCTCAACAGCTGGCTTCGATGATGTATCTGGAGGTTTAACAGATGAAGCGGATGAAGATCTTCAACAGTGTATCAGTCCAAATTATTCTTATCATCATCATTTCCATGTTCCTTCAAATCCTGTTTACCATTCTTATCATCTAAATCAACCGTATCACCATCACCTCGTCTCGAACCGTTTTCATCATCACTATTGTCCTCATTCATACTCTCAACCCTGTGATAGACATTTGACCAACAAAAGAGATAGTCCTCGTGGAAATTTCATTAGTGGCCTAGGTATTGGCTTAGCCAGTGTAGCAGCTGACTCTCCAAGTTTTGGTCAAGGAGAAGGTGGTTCAATTGGAACAAGACAAATGGAAACTTCAAATCATCAATTGAGTAATCCGTCTCATTCATCAACTGCCAATGATTTCAAGCCATCAAGTCTACTTCGTTCGCCTGTTTCTTCAGACATGAGATCAACCATTAATCTTTACAAGAAAATTGTAAGTGATATTCATCGCCTGGAAAGATATATCAATGGTAAAGATCCTTTTTTCTCAAATGGCCCACCTAAACAGTCGAGATGTATTGTCGATTTTATCAACTCTCGTACATCTGGTAATTCTATTCTCGAACGAGCCTCTCTTAGCAAAGAGTTTGTAATAAACCATATTCTCAGTAATAATGTGCTCAGAGAAAAACAATATTCAGTTGGACAATTGGATAAAATATTTTGTTCTCAATGGCTTAACCATAGACAGATAATTTTTGGCACCAAGTGTAATATGGTAAGTTTTTCTTTTAAAGTGAAGTAATCTTTTTCTATATTCTTGTTTTGATGTTTATTTTTATTCTCTTTCAGCTAATGGTTTTAGATTTACACACAAGCAAGCTCGTTCAAATACCCAATTTATCAAGTAGTAATAATCTCAGCTCTCCACCAAATACCAGATGCGGAATTCATTGTATTGCCATTAATCCGTCCAGAACTCTATTAGCTGCTGGAGGTGAGAATCCAAATGACATAGCAATCTACAAATTACCAACTCTTGATCCAATCGGGGTTGGTGAAGGAGCTCACACAGATTGGATTTTTGACGCTTGTTGGTTAGATGATCAATTTCTTGTGACTGGTTCTCGAGACTCTACCTTAGCCTTATGGAGGGTCGATGATAATGCAATTTTACCAATAACAAATCTAACTAATGATCCATCTGCTATACCTGGTCAATATGGCTTTCTCGATCCTCTAGTAATTCATCGATTTGAGAAAAATGACAAAATTCGAGCTTTACTTTTTGACAATAAAAGATCTGTAAGTAAATTTAATAACCCTAACTGTTATTATGTAGAGATACATAATTATGTTTTTACATCATCATGTAATATTTTAAGGATACAACCATTCATTCACTTATCTTATCTTTATTATTATTGCAAACCATTAGGAGATAATTGCCCTGTCGCTAAATGCAAATCTTCATCGATTTAATGTTAGCAATTTTAAACCCAGCAGTATGCTTAAGTTACATTATCAAAATGACAACGTGTGTCTAGCTCAAGAACCCGATCTAAATCTCTATGCTGTTGGCTCGAAAACTCATGTCATCTTGGTCGACCAAAGGCATTTTGAAATAACCAGCAAAGTTCATACTTCACAACAAGGGATACGTTCACTTAGCTTTTTTTCTGGTGTACTTACCATTGGCACTGGATCTGGGGCCTTACTCTTCTATGATATTCGCAACAAAAAGTATATTAATATAAGAGATTCTAAGGAACAAGCAATCTTAAAAGTTTCCAAAGGTTGGCTTGTAAGTATTGTTTACCAATTTTTAATCATGATGAAACGCCATAATTGAGCATTCCATCCATTCTGATAATTTATTTTCTATTTATTAATATCTATTTATGTTTTTAATATTTTTGCTATTAGGATCCTGAAAATCAAGAGCAGCCCCAAGATATTGAATATACTCCTGCAATTTATACTCATCAATATGATCATACTGGAACTCGAATTTTCACCGCCGGTGGACCTTTATCTGCTGGAATGGTTGGCAATTTTGCCAGTATTTGGCATTAATTTAAAGTTAAGCTAAACTACCTTTGTTTGACAGACTATCTCACAGACTCCAAAACTTAGCAAATTTTTGGACCATTTAAAATCTGACAAACAGTTATTAATAAGACTTATGAATGTGCATAAACCTTAATTACATAGATTAAAACCCCTTAATAGTCTTATCAATCTTTTTATTCGTCATTTTTCTCCATTATATTGTTCATTAGTTATATTTTTCATCTTTCACTTTACTTTGTTTGTTTTCCTCATTAATATGCATTTATATAATGTTTTAATATACATATTCAAAATCGTTACTTTCTACGTTTTCCTTGCTTATTTAAATCAGATTTGAATTTAAATATTGTCAAATCTTTACATTTTATTAGATCAAAAAAAGCATCTTCTGATGAATGTTAACACCACTAAGTCATCTATTGTAATACATCTAAATTATGTGAATCAAGTTTTTTAATTTTATAATACATTTAGCTTTGTTTATGGATCAATAAATTTGCACAAACTGCATCTGTACCATGAACTGTATCAAAATCATAGTTACTATCTAATATATTAACGCTAATAATTATACTAGATCAGCATTTCCTTCACTAAAATGAACACTGTATCACTAACCATTAAAACCCTCATCAATCAATCACTGCATTGAAAATGTGTGAATAAAGTATATTATAGAGCATTAATTTCCGGAATAGCAAAATTAATGAACAAAGAAAAATCAGTAAACACATTAATTTCAGTGCCTATGAATGAACAAAGGACGTCCGCTAATTACATGAAAATAATTTTACCAAAAATGTAGTGAAGGATGTGAGTTTGGAACAAGAGAAAACAAAAAATCTTCTGTCTATGAATAGTTTGTTCATTGTTATACCCTTTCAGTCAACTCAGTAAATTCAATCAATTTCAAATAATGACTTCTCGGTGGATAATTGAAAAAGATGTTTCCAGTGATTGGTTTCTTTGTAAAGGTAATGAAATTAGTGCGGTTGATTCAAAAAAGTGCCAATTTCCAGCTGGACGCAGGATAAATGTAATGTTGAATGATCCACCTCAACCTGATCAACAGGCTGATCAAGATTCAGACAGTTACACTCAATGGAAATTTAGTGTTCGCTCAGTTGCAGCCATTGGTTTAACCACTGATCAGTCTTATGGTCCTGGGTATAGTATAAAGGGTTTCATTTATGATTCTCGGGGTAACTTGCGGACTTCTGGGACAGATTTAGTGACACAGTTTGGTGATAAATGGCCAGAAGCAAGTGAAATAGTATTGATTACAAACGAATCTGTTGACAACCATTTGAAGATATGGATCATTCAAGATCATCGACCACTTGGATTAGCTTTGAGCCTAAATTATCCACTAAAAGGCCAATTGAAACCATTCTTGACATTCAATAAACCCGGAAAATGTTTAATACACAGATCAACATGGAAAGGAAATCTTGAAACGATTGAAAGGCCCCATAATCAACAGCTAAATGGTAAGCTTTACTTTCAATAACTAAGCAGGAAAAAAATATTTAACAGTGAAAACATTGAATAAGCACAATCGTTGACATGGTTTTGCTTCTCCTCCAATCAGGATCAATCATTGGATACTGGCAGCTTATTCAATTCAACAGCCAGATACCGTTACGTCCTCATGAGGCTACCATAATTAGAAGAAGTGATTATATCTATGAGTTAATCATGTCAGGTTGGAATAAGATTGATGTTGAACTAATGTTTAGTAAAGGGTCAGTTTATAGAGTGAAAAATAAACAAAAAACAACGCTTGGTGGACCAGACGAGTGGATGGTTGAGGAGAGGAAAATTTTTGGAGCCTTTGTTGGTACAATTAACATAAATTTGACTGAAAACGGAATGAAAATGATAATTAAAACTGATCAAGTTAGCTTGAAATTTAATCGATGTGACAAGGATAAGCCAAATCCTATTGAATATAATCCATTTGTAAAAAGTACCGATCCTTTTTTAGAAACAGAAATATTTTGAAAATTGAAATGCCTGCCATGTTAATGTCTCTTCATTAGTCTCTACTGTTAGAGACTAATGCAGTTAATGTAATCAATATTTTCTCACAATTAAATTCATAATTATTATATTAGCTTCAGAAATTGTAAAATTCTTTCAACAGTTGATTTTGTTTTCTTTACATAAGACTGAGTTTGCGTCGATACCTTTTTTGATCTTTATTTCGGGCTTTTTATTCATGGATACTTTGACCTGCATAAAAAACCATATGCTAAAAAAATGACGACTAAAAAAGGTAGGAGAGAAGGTCTCATATTTGAATAAGGCCTTGGGGAGGTTCGGGTTGGGTTAAGTTGAATTGACATTTTTTTACTTCAACACAACGCTCTCTTTGTTAAGGTTAAAGGTAAAAAGGTTGTCGTCGCAATTTTCAACTTTAAGGTACAACAAGCAATTGAAATCATGTGAAGTTTTTATGAGAATTAAACTGTTAAATTCTTCAAGTGAATATTTGTTTCAGTTTTTATTTCCACACCAATATCGCAATGTATATCAATCTGAGATCGTTGAATTGTCTTGAGAGTTCAACAGTCAGATATCAGTGTTCATCTATAAATCAAAACATCGGTGCCATAAAAAGTGATTGTTTCAGTTTATTCAAAGTAAACTCAGGCCAACGGATTAGACTATTCTTCCATGGTAAAGAGGTAAGAGAAATTGAATTTTCAAAATTACCAAAAATAGACATCAAGAGGCAAAGGGCCAAAATATCGAGAAAGTCATGATAACTAGATGATCCGTTAGCCTTTTTAAATTGAATTAATATCCAAATTGATTAAAGAAATTAATCAAAATTCCAAACCAAAAGATTACTTTCTTCGACAGTTTTAAAAAGTCTTTCTCTGTTTTGACCTCAAACCCGAATGATCGGTCCGTTTCCCTAGGAATGATAAAAAATAAGAGTTATACGTTAATGTTTACTGAGTGGAATAGCAGATTAGAAAGAGTTGAATGAAATTACAAGCAATATCTAAATTGATTCATTTACCTTTCGTTTATTTTATTACCTAAAAGCTCCGAGATGAATTTTCTTTGCTCGATTATGGAATCAAAATAAACGAAATAATTCATTTTTGCATCCAAAAGATTGAATTGCCTGCTGAAAAAGAGCATTATCGTGAAAACAATGAGCTACCAAACAAACCCTATGACCATTCAAAGGATATGGATGGATCAAAAAAGCCAGATAAGTCAATTGAAAGTAGTTTAACACCTATTGCTACAGATGACTATTATTTGATTGGTGATCATGTTGACTGCCTTCATCCTGAAATTGGTGCTTGGTTTGAAGGTATAGTTTGCGGCCTGTACAAATTGAATAGCTCTAATCAAACATTGTATGAAGTAAAATTCTGGAAATCATCATTACCAGAAACCGTCAAGGTGTCCATTAATGGAATCAGACCCCAATCCTATCAGCAAATACGTTTATATGACCTAAATCCCGGAGATTTGATTCTAGCCAATTCAAATTTAACAAACCCTGGACAAATTGGTTATTGGTATGATTTCCTGGTAACAAGTGTAAATATTAAACGTAAAATTGTTCAAGGAACATTATTCATTGGTGATAAAGTGACATTGGATAAACATAATATAACAGGAAACTTGCTTTTCTATACTGCTCAAGATAATCAACCAGTTATTGAACGGAATAACAAACAAGCCAAATTAATTGCCAATGGATCTGAAAGAAAAAGTAAGAAAAGTCAATCAACAAGTCAATATTATTTTATGATCTCTATTTCCCTATCAAAGTGGTGATAAAAAGTCAGATGAATTTTCATAAACCATACAATGATGATGACAAAATGAAGATACACACACTTCATGAGGATAGAAAATTTTTTCATCACTAATTCATCGTAAATTTTTTACAAGCAAGAAAAAAGCTATTAAAATGAATAAAAAAGTTTCCGTTGAATAACATAGTAAAAGCAGTGGGTATATTGAAAAGATGTACTCACACAAAAAAAAGTGAATCTACTTTTGTACATCTGATCCTTTCATTTTGTATGTGGGGGTCTTTCTAACCCTTTAGGCTTTCTTTTACATCTAAGGTCGTGTGGCACTATATATCAGCTTACTTTTTTACTCGAAATCCTTTTATCCCATCTCTATTATAACCATCGTCATCATCCTCATTGAATATTTTACCTTCGACTTCCTCTTCGGTTCTCCTTATCACTTGAACAATAATCAGTCAATAACTTTTGGTGAGATTTTTTTTAGCATTCACCTCTTGTCGTTTTTTCACTCCTTTGGGTACAATTATTACTTCCGATTTGAACTCACCCAGAGACTCAATGACTAGAGGAAAAAATAGATTGAAAAAATTATTAATTGAAAGTGACCTTAAAAAGTTAAACTTGAAAAGAGAGCAACATAGAAATTGATACTTGAATTTGTAGACTCTCAATAAGAATTGAACAGCAAATGATCGATATCCGCTAAATAATGATTTATGGTTATCATTGGAATTGAAATTGAATTTGTAAAGATCTTACCTTAGACGGAGAGAAACCATTAACTTGTATTCAATGCCTTTTTTCAAACTCAGCAAATGTTTATTTAAGAAAAATTAAACTCTTGAGAAAAAATTGATTGAATATCTTTTGGTGTGAAAAGGATTTAAAGAAAAACAGTTTTGTTATGAGTTGAGATAAATGAGTAAAAAGATACCGATATGATTACAGAAAGGATTAATCAAACGATATCGATACAACCTTGAACTCTTGACAAGGATTTTCATTGTTTTCCTCTTTTCTGTTTTTATTTATTTTTGTTTGGTTTTTTTATCATTTTATTCTAGGACCCACTGCTGTTGAATGTACACAATGTTCAGACGATCCGGAAACACCTTGCGTTGAATGCTCCTGTCGCCAATGTGGATCTAAAGCTGATCCCGAGAAGCAAATTGTGTGTGATGAATGTAACAATATCTTCCATCTCTGTTGTTTACCTCAACCCCTTGAAAGGCTTCCGCCGGAAGATGAAGATTGGTATTGTTATAACTGTAAAAATACAGATGCTATTGATATTGAGATGAAAGAAGAGGCTTCACGACTGGCTAAAGGGTTAAAGAGGAAACGAAAAGCATCGACTAAGTCATCATCTAACAATGTGATTGGTGTTAATGATGGGCTATTAACATCTACAGTTCCTGAAAAGTTGATAAATAACTGGGGTCGTGGTATTAGCTGTGTTGGTCGAACCAAGGTTTCTGAAGTTGTTCCTAAAAATCATTTCGGTCCTATACCTGGAATACCAGTTGGAACCATTTGGAGGTTTCGTTTTCAAGCCTCAGAAGCCGGAGTTCACACTCCTTTAGTTGCAGGTATTCATGGTAAACAATCTGTTGGAGCCTTTTCCATTGTCTTTTGCTGTGGTTATGATGATGATATTGATCTGGGTGATGAGATCTATTTTACTGGATCGGGAGGAAAAGATTCATCAACAACTAAATGTAGGGTTGGCGGTCGTCAAATCAAGGATCAAGAACTGACTCGATGTAACAAAGCGTTGGCTATTAATTGTGCAGCACCATTTTCAAACGAAGGAGCCAACTCAGGGACTAACTGGAGATTAGGTAAACCAGTAAGAGTTTTAAGAAGTGGAAATGCTCGTGGATCCACCAAAAAGTCACCCTATCTTCCTAAAATTGGTGTGAGATATGACGGTATCTACAAAGTTGTAAAATATTGGCCTGAAAGGAAAGTTAATGGTCTGTTGATCTGGAGGTTTCTTCTTCGCCGTGACGATACTGCACCCTCACCATGGACTAAAGAAGGTAAACGAAAGAGTCGTAAGCTGGGTTTATCTTTGATTGAACCTCCAGGTTTCATTGAAACCTTTGCTAAAAAATCATCTTCAAAGAAACGTAAAGTTGATCATGTTGATCAAAATGATTTAAGTGTCAAGCGATTAAAGGTCACTCCCTATAAATTACCATCAAAAGTTGTTGATTTGATTCAACAAGATAATCAAAACTCACATATTTGGAAAGAGATTGTCAAATTAACCACTGAAGGTGAAAAGGTGAATATTTATTACAATTCATCTTACATTATTTATTTAAGTTTGAATTCATAGTTCATTTAATACAAATTTTCAAATTGAATTTATTTTTTGGATCAGATTTTCTTGTCTCGAGTTGAAGAATCGTTTAGATGTGCCTGTTGCTTGGAGATTGTTTTCAAACCCGTTACAACATTCTGTTCTCATAACATGTGCAAGGTGCGTCATTTCCTTACTTTGCGTGAATTTTGCTTATTCGTATCATGACAATTCAACATCTTTATAATACTAACACATTATTTAATTTTTTGTTCATACAGGGTTGTTTTATCCACACCATTGAATCATTAGTAACAACATGTCCAATTTGTAGGGCCGGGTTATTAAAGAAAAACTGTGGCCCTGAGGTCAACTGTATTCTTGAACAAATATTGGCTCAGCTTTTTCCAGATTATTATGAAAAACATTCATCTGGAAAATCATGAAATGTTGCCATTGAACAATCAAATAAGATTGAGAAGCTGAGTAAAGGATGAAGCGATAAAGGAAATGGAGTTAAATTTTTAATCTGGAATTTTATTTCAAATTTCATGATGTGGTTATTTTGAATCACTTGATGCCTTCATATGCTGATGATTTGATAAGACTTGGCATAGCTAATCCAAGAGTCGCTGAAATGGTAGCCAAAGATGAAACAAAACTGGGTGAAACCATGCAAAGACCAACAAACGAAAATCCAATATCATTCCGATTGATTCGCAATAGAAACAAATTTAACTGCGAAAAAAAGAGTATTTTCAGTAAAAATGTCTCAACCGAAGATTTAATTGAACTTACCTCGTTCGTGGTTGTAATTGAATGAGATGGATTGAGAGAAAATGATAAATGATAAACTTTGTCAAATAATTGGACTGATAGTTGATAAACACGAACTAAGTGATATGTAATGAGCGTTAGCATAATTGATTGCTCGATAAATTTTATAATAAAGATAGCTAAATATGAATTGAACTGATCGAGTGATAGAATACCAATAAGACAAACATTATGACCAATTTGGTACGCATAAGTGCACAACACTGCGTATTTGAATAATTTGTTGATTAAACCTGTGCATTTGATTATTTCATTATGCAACAATCGGAGTGATTTAACATTTATTTCGTTTGTCTGATGAGTTTGTGTTGAAAGCTGGACCAGCAAATTGTCAAGAAGGATAAAATCTGATTGCAAATATGTACACGTTTCAAATATAAATTCATACAAGAAGCAGACTTTGAACGATAAAACGAGCGATAATAAGTGCAAAGTTGAACTGAAAGTAAATCCCTCCAATAAGATGTAATCATGGATAAAATAAACTATTTCAAATGGAACCTCGAATGATATGAAAGATACGAAAAATAAATGATTGATTTTCATCCATTTGGTTAAATGTGAGTTACAAAATAGTCCAAAATAATCACTGTTTGCAATTTTGCTGTGCAAGTTGATAAATTCAATGTAATAAGATTTATTGAATATATAATTCAATGAAATGCAGCTTATACTCAGGCAAACGATGAAATTCATTATTCTTTCATACTTAAGCAAAACATTATCATACCGGCCATTTTTTATGTCGTCGTATATATCATATAACTTTCCCATTGATAATATAAGTGAAAATATCGCAGTAAATATGTGTATTATTTGACTCCATTTGTTTCCTAAAAGTGATTTACCAAAAAGACTTAATGGTCGGGTTAATTTTGAACGACGAGTCAACTTATTCTTATCCATTTATAGCATGAAAAATAAGAATTTTAATTTTTTCAATTGTTTAATCACATGAAATTTGGCTGTACTCAATGAATGATCAAGCAAAACTAAATAAATATGTTTTGTCATGATGTTCATCAAAAGATGAAATACATTGTTTTCTGGCGAAACATCGTTAAAAATATGAAAATTAATTGTTAATGATTTTGTTAACGTTGCTCATGGAACCAAATGATCAAGTTAGTGATATTTTCTGGTAAAACTAAATATTTAAATCATCAGGATATAATGATTTAATATGGTTAATTTAACACAATAAATGGTGGAATATCAAAATTTAAATCATTAATTCTAATTGTTTTTAATTTGCACTTCTTGAATGTGATCTAATATTCATTATGGATGGTTTAATGATCAGTATGAAATATTTAATAGCTCCAGTCATTTCAAGAAACTTGAGAATCAAAACATTCAAATAACCATTAGTTAATGGAGCTAAATGGAAGTGAAGTTGATCGAGCATAAAATTGCAACAAGTAGCTACAAAATCAGCTTTTATTAATATCATTTATATGCTATTGTATTATTTTGGCACTTGATTTCCATTTTATGAGCGGAAACGATTGTGAATGTCCAGAGGATTTTTTCAAATAAACTCATTCTGGTAAATTGTAAAGCAATTTTTATTGTGTTTAACCCGATTCTTACAAGGATGAACTTTACATGCAACCTTGATTTGTTATTGATTTGGTAGTATTAATATTTATTGAGAGATTTTGAAGCATTTTAGAATCATTTACAATCAAATAGACTTTCGATTTATCCATACTTTTTTAATGAATGTCGCGAAAACCATTAACATTTTAATTTGAAAAGCAGCTTTTAATTTACACAAAAATCTGAGTTGTCATTAAGTCTCATTTCAAAATACTGGGTAAAGCTAAGCCAAGAGTCAACGAAATGGTAGACAAAGATGAGACAAAACTGGGTGAAACCAAGCAAAGACCAGCAAATGTGAATCCAACATCATTCCGATTGATTCGAAATAGAAACAGATTTATCTGTAAAAATTTAAAGATATTTTATTAAATTATCAAACAAACGATTTGAATGAAACTAACCTCATTGATTGCTTCAATCGATTGATCAGAGTTGAATGAAAATGAAAGTTGATAGACTTTGTCAAATATTTGGACTGACAATTGATTTACACGAATCAAATGGTAAGTGACTAGAACAAGGTATGAAGATTCACCGAAGAACCTAAAGATTGAATAAAACAGCATATAAGAGGAGTCTCCAATGTTCAAAGTAGAGCTAAACACAAAAACACAATGACCAATGAAGTACAAATAAAATACCGAAATGGCATAAGCTAAAAATCTGTCCATGTATTCAATCGATTTAATGGTTTTGATGTAATATACGCGAGTCGATTTAGCCATTCGATTGACATCAGTTGACGATGAACGTTTGTTTTGGTTCGATAAAGTATCAAGTAAAGTGTTAATGGGTATAAAAGTTGCCTGACAATAGATGCAACATTCAATTATAAACTGCATTGAGAGGATATAACAGAGCTGACAGATTATTCCAATGGAAATAGTAGCAAACATATTTACTTGTAAACTGAATTCTTGAAAGTACGAATAATCATTGATCGAAGAAGTTACCACTTCATAGATAAATGCAAATATTACCCAGAAGCGAATGATTTTAACCCATTTATGTACAAATTTAGATGAATCTGCACCGAAATGGTTACCAATAATTGTCTGGTAACAATCCAAATATTTAATATACAAGGAACGATTAAGTTCAAAATGCATAGTAATTAAACCGAGACACAGTGAATACATTTGATCGAGTATCTGATCATATTTAACTGTCGTGGTTTCATGGGCTTGAATTGCTGGAATAATGAAATAAATTCTGTATGAAGCATTGAAAATCAGTCCGATGGAGACAATCCATAACATTACTTGACTAAACACATTTTTACGTACAAGTGAACAGCTGATTAAACTGCATGGTCCAGTCTGGGAATTATAATAATTTGATTTAATTTCATCCATTTTGCTGAGGATAAAGGTTTATTTGAATGTTACTCTGTTGGACAATCTGGTTAATCTTTTTCCTTTCATTGCTATTGGTTACAAAGTCACAATTCAATCGTTATTTTTTAATTATTTTATCAATTTTACTATTTTTCACCAATCATTTACAAAACTTGAAATCTAGTTCATTAATATTTTAATGCTGAAAATATTTCATGGTACCAAAAGCAGAGACTGAGTTAAACGAAGCAAGAGAACTCGGGTCTTTTTTATAATAGTTAAAACTTTTCCCATTAAAATTCAATCAGAGATTTGGAGTACCTTTTGGCTCTCTGAGAGTAGTTGAGATTATTTTACATTTATTATTGAATATTTTTATAAATATTAACTTTCAGTCTGAGTATCCTTCTGGGTTTTGCCTGCAAATTGAGTGGTTTCTAAGATATTTTGGTTTAACATTTTGGCAGTTTCATTAAAATCCTGAAAATTGTCTAAAAAGGCATAGCCTAGTGGATGAAGGTTAGGTGAAAGTATAAAGATTTCGGGTTCGAATCCTGATGACTTTTTATTTAAATTTGCGATCCTTGAATGTGATCTAATATTCATTATGGATGGTTTAATGATCAGTATGAAATATTTAATAGCTCGAGTCATTTCAAGAAACTCGAGAATCAAAAAAATTCAAATAACCATTTATTTTAATGGAGCTAAATGGAAGTGAAGTTGATCGAGCATAAAATTGCAACAAGTAGCTACAAAAGAAGCTTTTATTAATATCATTTATATGCTATTGTATATTATTCAATAATATGAAATAATTATTTTGGCCCTTGGTTTCCATTTCATGAGCGGAAACGATTGTGACTGTCCAGAGGATTTTTTCACATTCTGGTAAATTGTAAAGCAATTTTTATTGTGTTTTTTTACCCGATTCTTACAAGGATGAACTTTACATGCAACCTTGATTTGTTATTGATTTGGTAGCATTAATATTTATTGAGAGATTTTGAAGCATTTTAGAATCATTTACAATCAAATAGACTTTCGATTCATCCATACTTTTTTAATGAATGTCGCGAAAACCATTAACATTATTAATAATTTGCAAGGCAGCTTTTGATTTATACGAAAGAATTTGAATTTTAAGAAAATTTTATTTGATAATACTGGGTAAAGCTAAGCCAAGAGTCAATGAAATGGTAACCAAAGATGAGACAAAACTGGGTGAAACCAAGCAAAGACCAGCAAATGTGAAGCCAACATCATTCGGATGGATTCGCAATAGAAATAAATTTATCTGCAAAAATTTGAGAAAATTTTATTAAAATGATTGAACAAGGTTTAGTTAAACCAACCTCATTGACTGTTACAATTGATTGTTCAGAGTTGAATGAAAATGAAAATTGATAGACTTTGTCAAATATTTGGACTGACAATTGATTTACACGAATCAAATGGTAAGTAACTAGCACAAGGTATGAAGATTCACCAAAAAACCTAAAAACTGAATAAAACAACAAATAAGGTGAGCTTCCAATTTTCAAAGTTGAGCTGAAAATAAAAATACAATGACCAATGAAGTACAAATAAAAGACGAAAATTGCATAAGCTAGAAATCTGTCCATGTAACGAATCGATCTAATGGTTTTAATGTAATATACGCGAGTCGATTTAGCTATTCGATTGATATCAAGCGGCGATGAAAGTTTGTTTCGGGTCGATAAAGTATCAAGTAAAGTGTTGATTGGTATGAAGGTTGACTGACAATAGATGCAACATTCAATCATAAATTGAATTGCAAGGATATAGCTGAGTTGACCGATTAATCCAATGGAAAGGATAGCAAACATATTTACTGTAAATCCGAATTTTTTAAAATAACGAAGATAATTATTTGTCAAAGTAGTTATCACTTCATAAATGAATGCAACTATTACCCAGAAGCGAATAATTTTGACCCATTTTTTGACAAATCCAAGTGAAGCTTTACCGAAATGATTGCTGACGATTAAATGGTAACAATCCAAATATTCAATATACAAGGAACGATTAACTTCAAAATGCATAATGATTAAACCAAGACACAATGGATACAGCTGATCGAGTATAAGTTCATACCTATTAATAAAATTCGTGGGTTCACTCACGTCAATTGGTGTAATAATTACGAGATAAAGTCTGTATACGGCTTTTGAAACCAATGTAATTGAAGCAATCCAAAACACTACCTGACTAAACACATTTTTACGTAAAAGTGAACAGCCAAGTAAGCTAGATGGTTCAGTCTGGGAATGGCAGTGATTTGATTTAATTTCATCCATATTTGCTGAAGGCAAATGTTTATCTGAATGTTGTACAATCCTCTTGAATGATACAGTTCAGATTTTCAAATTCATCAGTAACTGTTGGAGACAAAATGTGAAAAATTAATGAATAGTTTGTTAGCGTTATTGAATTTTTTTCGATCGATCGATCGAATCAACTACAAAAAAAGGAAATGCAGTCCAAGTGTAGTTGTATTATTGATGAAAATAGATAATTGTTGTCAAAATTTTGCTAAGCGTCATTCAAAAAAGCCTGGTAAAGCTAAGCCAATAGTTAGTGTAATGATAGCCAAAGATGCGAATTAAATTAGCGCATAGTTGAGCAAATTTAGTCCACCTTGGTCAAACGTTTTTTAAAAATGCCTGGTAAAGCCAAGCCAATGGTTAGAGTAATGATAGCCAAAGATGATATGAAATTGGATGAAACAACGCATAGACCAGCAAATGTGAATCCAGCATCGTCTCGACAAATTAGCAAATTTAACAAATTTATCTAGAAATTGGAAACAAAAATGTTGAAAATTGCTTAAGCAATGAAAAGGTCAAAGCACTTACCTCACTCATGGTTTCAATTGATCAACATTGATTGAAACCAGGCAAAAACCAACAAATGTGAATCCAACAGCATTCGATTCGAAATTTATCTGAAAAGGAGTAAAAGTGTTTAATACGTAGAATCGAGGGATTCAATTGCCATCAACCTCATTGATAGGGTAGGAAAGAATAGAAATGAAATAAACGCCATCTTTAACTAGAAATTTGCAGTTTATTTGAAAATCAAACATATTTTTTTGAAGTGAAATCATAGTATTTTACAATCTTTAATTCATATGTTCCGTTCTATCTCTCCAATACGAATATTTTATTTTTTGGCCAATAGTTTTTCGATCGTTCCAGCGCGTTCTTCATTCAGTGAGTAATGAATTGTCATTTTATAGCCTTTATCTTAATGAATAACAAGCAGTCTACAATATGCACTCAGGTCTTCTATGCCATTGTAGCTTGAAGTTACAACCAAAAGTTTTTCCCCATTTTTGGCGCACTCTCTTCGAGCTTCTTTTACCTCGATTGCTGGCGTACAATATTTTCAAATCAGGGTCTCTACTAGCGGCATCAAATTTTTTAGATATTTGCAAGTTTTTACACGTGTAAAACTTCTGCAAAAGGGAAAAGTTGTTATGGCTATTGAGAGCCAGCAACAGCCTCACGGCCTGCCACCTCATAAGAGGCGTCCTCGGCGAATGAGTACATCAGCCGGTGTGCATTTGTGAATGTGAACCTTAGTTCCTCGAACTAGGTTCCCATCACCGCACTCCGTTGATCGGTTCGGCCAGAGTGCCTCTTATGGTGAGGGCACCTAAATGGCCAGGAACTCCGCGATCGATTTCGAAGCGCATCGGGACTCGGTGCTGGCTGCACTCCTCAGAGTACCGGATGAGATGTTGTGATTGAAGCCAACGTGCAGCTGCATCACGGCTTCTAAGGAGGTGCTCTAGCCTCGCATGGTTCCTCGGAGTGGAACGTCAAACTCTTTGTTTCAACGAATGAATCATTGAGTGGAATTGAAATTTTATCTCGGATGTGGTAACTTTGAAATGACTGGAGATAGTGCTTGGTGTATTGAACTTAGTGCTAAATTAATTATTTGTTCCACTTAATTTTAGTTAATTTGATGGAAATTATTTTCCACCAGATTATTATTATTATTAAATGTTATAAAATGGCTCAAAATGTTACATGTATTAAATTTTTATCTAGCATACCGAACATGAACCAAGAAAATGTTTATGCTGACAGTAAAGATTGATACATTCAGTGTTGAATGGATTTAAAAACATAAAGATCACTTTAGAGCTCATTTAATATGCATAATAAAACTTTGAATGGATAGTAAACAACTCAAACTGATAGATCTGATGACTGTTTTGTTCTATGTATCATATTTGGTCAAAATACTACTAATATACATAATAAATTGTAACTAGAGTTAATGTCTGTAAATATTGATGATTCTTCCTAAATTTCAAATAATATTGATGCGTTAGTATTAATATTTATTGAGGAGATATTTCAAAGCATTTTAGAATCATTTAAAATCAATTGAATTTCCACTGTAACCATACATTTATGAGAAATGTCACGAAAATCATTAACATTATAATTTGATTTAAAGCAGATTTTGATTTACACGAGTCAATATGAATTTTCATAAAAGGTACAGTATCTGCAATCTGCAAGTTTAAATCGCATTAATAATGTTCATTTTGCGATTAAAAAAGTTTTTCCAAGAAAAAGTAAAAAATTTTCATTCAAGTTGGGAGTTTAACATTTGTTGGAGTAAAGTTGAGTCCATTCGTGGATATCTTTGCTGATGGATAATCTTTGAGTTCAAAAATTGAAACTTTGGCCTCTTTTGTACGGTGGGAAGCACAAGACTTTTACCGAACTTTCACTCGAGTAACTCACTTCACTGAAGATCATTACTCAAGTCAGCCCAGTCGAATGATACATTGACACCATTCAATGAGCGCACAGAGAAATTGTCAGATTTGGCGCAAATTTTGCACTAACGCTGATCAAATTCACTCAAACCTTCTTGCCTATCTCCTTTGTGCTACGAAAATAATTTAAAAGATAAAGCATAATTGATGAAGTCTATCGTAAAAACAGAGATTATTACTTTTGTTTCAATGTGTTAAACGCAATAAAACGCAAAAAAACACTCTGAAATGAACAAAATGACTCTAGCGTTTTTTTCAAAAAATATCTTAAGGAGCGGAAACCGCAGCTCAGTGTAGCAATTTTCATTCGACTGGGAGTTTTACTCATATTTCTGATCCAACAGGAATCAAGCTGAATAAAGAAAAAGTTTTTCCCACAAAGTCAATAGCTTGGAATACAGAATCTGCATTTTCACCCACTCAGTAACCTGGATTCTGATTGAGTTCTGAATATCTATCGCACATTTAGTTAAATCATGGATTTCAGGTAGTGTATAGATTCTCTACAGAATCTTTTTCATTTAACCACAATTTTTACACAATTTGATTTTTTGTGCGTATAGATATTTAATGAACACAAATGCATAACTTCCGTAACAACTTGAGTTATTATAAAATAAATATTGCAACAAAAACTTTATTTGATTTTATCCATTACTTTATTTAAGTGATCTAAGCGGCATGGTTAGATGAAAGCTGATGAATAATTTGAGTCTTAAAATATAAGTTGAGTTTTTTGTACAGAGCAAAGAAATTTACGATCAGTTTTGATCGAGGGCTCGTTGATCGGAACGAAATGATTAGACAAAGACATGTTATTTAAAAAAGCCTGGTAAAGCTAGGCCAATAGTTAGTGCAATGATAGCCAAAGATGATATAAAATTGACTGAAACCACGCATAGACCAGCAAATGTGAATCCAACATCGTCTCGACGGATTCGAAATAGAAACAAATTTATCTAGAAATTGGAAATCAAAATGTTGAAAAGGTTTCAAGCAATGAAAAAGCTCAAAGGGTTTACCTCATTCATGGTTTCAATTGATCGTACCAAGTTTGGTGATAGTGAAAGATCATAAACTTTGTTGAATATTTGGAGTGACAAGTAGTTTACTCGAGCAAAATGATAAACACTTACACTCAGTATAGCCAAAAAAAGAATAGCTTTACCAATTATAGTTAGTACTCTCATCATGGTTTGATTGGGTGCTAAAATCAAACCAATGTTACAAATAGAGTAAATTGTCAGAAATCCAAGAGTGTTCAACAGAGTTAATCTGAAAAAGGAATCAATCTTTCTACTAAACTGAATCGTTTGACTGTGCATATGACGGACTGATTTAATAGCATGATAAACATCCAAGCCAACAGACTCGTTAACCATCTTCGTCAGGGAATCAAAAAACAAGTGGTAATACACGAAATCTGATTGCAAATAGATACAAGTTTCATGTATAAATTGCTGCTCCAAAATTAAACTCAATTCACACATAAATGACACTACTATATCAGTGTAGCTATAAGTCAAATTAAAAGGGTTTGCATAATACTCCACAGCTCTTACGGTTATTCTAGTTAGGAATTGTAATCTAACTATAAATCGATCGATCTTCTGCCATTTGTTCACATATGAAGTCTGTGCCAGGCCAAAAGGAGTCTTGATGCTGGATTGAAAGTCGTTGATGTACTTAACATAAATGTGAGCGTTGTATTTGTACAGTAATATAGTTGCGACAAGACTTGACGTGTATAAGATATTAGCGATTATTATACATTTATTGTATGTTAAATCACTAATACTGATTCCAAGATGAGTGTTTTTTGTGGATTTATGAATTTTATATATTTTAGTTGTAGCATAAAGTAGAAAGCTAATCGAGGTAAACAAATGCAGTAATTGACTTGATATGCTTTCACGTAAAAGGGATTTGGCAAAAATACTTGATGGTTTAGTTGATTTTTCAATGAATCCAATCAAATTATTTGTATCCATTTTAACACTGAAACAAACTCCAAACAATGAAATCTGGCTTACTTTGGAATCAACTAGATGCATGGGCGAAGTGAGACTAAACTGATTTCCTGATTCTTGATTTTATATTATTTACTATAACAATAATATATTTATTGATAGGAACTTATTCAAGCATTTGGATACAAAAATTTATTAAACTTTCATACTCCAGGATAATGACGATATTGATATAAATATAAAGCATAGTGTTACCTAAAAATCAATAACTAGAAACATTATACTTTTATTATCATTTTATGGTTAAATTTTAATATCAATACAAAATAATAAATATCATGATATATTAATAAAAGGCTTGCATTAATTTTAAGTTACAGAGGTAACGTAAAGGAGTATGTGTAAAAAATCTGACTTTCGAGTTAAGAGTTAGGACTTTTTGTTAGGACTTGAGTTTGTAGAAGCATGAAAACTGAGTCCATCAGTGGCGTTAAAAAATTTCTCCGATCGACAATTTTCGAGAAAATCGAGGTTAAAGTGAAAACTTAGATCGCCTTTTGTTCAATTATGGAATCAGATTTTTTCATCAAACTTATTTTTCCGGTATAACTTTTGATAGCCAATCAGAAAATGCACTTATTTCAAGAAATAAAATTCTCTGTTTCTGTGCAACAGATCACTGAAAGATCAGACATTGAAAATCATGAAATGGTCTGTCCGACAAATAGTGAAAATAAGCTATTTTCAATTTGTCCCATTATCTGGCAGGTTACTGTATTAATATATTACCCAGACACGAATGATTTCAACCCACTTATTGATTATAAGATGATAATAATTCCATAAATAACTGCTGATGGTTTATTTGGACTGTATTCCTTTCTTTCGGATGTTCCAGCTTAAATTCGTTAGTTGCAATTGTTATTTTGTTGGGGTTTTATAGTTTTCTATTTCATGAAATGGTGCAGATAAAACACTTTGAATAGCAGAACGATTTCCTGCTATACACAAATAAACGGATATTTAAGGTAATCATTTCAATCTCAATTAAAAATTATAAAGAGATGTTCACCGGACACTCTAAACTATATGAGCATGACAAAGGTAACATTTTTCCTCAATCAAACCAATGATATCGTTTCAAGATAAAAAATTTTAATGAGATATTGAATTAAATGACATTAAATGAGATTGAAAATGATTACCGGACCGGCCCTAAATAGCAAATCGTTGTTTATCAATAATAAATCTTGCTAAATGCTATTTAGAAAAGGCCTGGTAAAGCCAAGCCAATAGTTAGAGTAATGATAGCCAAAGATGATATGAAATTGGATGAAACAACGCATAGACCAGCAAATGTGAATCCAACATCGTCTCGACGGATTCGAAATAGAAACAAATTTATCTAGAAATTGGAAATCAAAATGTTGAAAAGGTTTCAAGCAATGAAAAAGCTCAAAGGGTTTACCTCATTCATGGTTTCAATTGATCGTACCAAGTTTGGTGATAGTGAAAGATCATAAACTTTGTTGAATATTTGGAGTGACAAGTAGTTTACTCGAGCAAAATGGTAACCACTTGGACACAGTATAGTTGCGATGTAAATCGATCTACCAATTAAATTTAGTATCCCGTGCATGGTTTGATCGGGTGTTAACAACAAACCAATGATACAAATAGAGTAGATGGTCAGAAATCCAAGAGTGTTGAACACAGTCAAACTGGGATTGAGGGATCAATTCGCCGACTAAACTCAATTGTTTGACTATGCATGTGACGAACTGATTTAATAGCATGATAAACATCTAATCCAACAGAGAACTTGTTGAGCTTTTTAAATAGAGAATCAAAAAACAAGTGGAAAAACACGAAATTTGATTGTAAATAGATACAGGTTCTAGTACGAACTGTTGCTCCAAAATCAAACAAAATTCACACATGCATGGCAATAGGATATCAACATATCTATGTGTCGAAAATGAAGGAGGAAAATAAAATCTTAAGGTTATTATGGTTATTCTAGTTAGGGACTGTAATATAATTAAATTTATTGATCTTCTGCCATTTGCCCACATATGAAGTCTGTGCCAGGCCAAAAGGATTCTTGATGCTGGGTTGGAAGTAGTTGATGTACTCAACATAAATTGGACTGTTGTATTTGTAGAGCAATGAAGTTGCAAAAAGACTTGTAGCGAAGGATAAATTAGTAATCATCATGCATCTGCTGTATGTTAAATCACTAATTTTGAATCCAAGAGGAGTGTTTTTCGAGGATTCATGAATTCTGTATAGTTTAACTGAAGCATAAACTAGAAAACTAATCCAGGCAAACAAATGCAGTAATTGACTTGATATGTTTGCACGTAAAATGGATTTGGCAAAAATACTGGATGGTTTAGTTGATTTTTCAATGTTCATCAATTAAAAATCAATAACTTTATACTTTAATCTACTTTTATGTATTAAACTTTTATAAATTATTAAAAATTTTTACATAATAAAAGGCGATTCTGATTAATCAATAAAATTAGGTAAAGCCAAGCCAAGAGTTAAGGCAATTGAAGCCAAAGATGATACAAAGCTGGGTGAAACCAGACAAAGGCCAGCAAACGTAAATCCAACATCATTCCGATCGATTCGAAATAAAAACAAATTTATCTGTAAAAGTAAACGTTTTGTTAAAACGACCAAACAAGGGATTTCATCTGAACGAACCTCATTGACCGCTTCAAATGAGTCTGAAGCTAGGGAATATGAAAGGTCATAAACTTTGGCAAACATTTGTACAGACAATTGATGCACACGAACCAAATGATAAGTAGTCAACACAAGGTAAGAAGATTCACCGAAAAACCTGAATACGTTATAAAGGCGCCAGTAAATAGAACCTGAAACCTGGAAAAATTCGTTGAAAACGAAAATACAATGACCAATGAAGTATAAGTAAAAGACCAAAATTGCATAAGTTAGGAACTTATCAATATAACGAATAGATTTAATGATTTTGGTGTAATGTACGCGAGTTAATTTAGCCATTCGATTGATATCCAATTGTGTTGATTGTTGGTTTTGGTGCAATAAAGTATCAAGTAATGTATTAATGGGTATAAAGGTTGACTGAGTGTAGATGCAACATTCAATTATAAATTGAATTGTGAGGATATAAAGGAGTTGAGTGAATGAAAAAAATGATACAAGCAGAAACATATTTGCTGTGAAACCAGTTTTTTTAAAAATATATAAATATTCAAAGGTTGCAATAGTTATCAGTTCGTAAAGGAATGCAAATATTACCCAGACACGTACGATTTTTCCCCACTTATTTACAAATTTGAGTGAAGCTTTGCCGAAATTGTTGTTGACAATTGTTTGGTAACAATCCAAATATTTAATGTACAAGGGACGATTGAATTCAAAATGCATGATAGTTAAACCAAGACACAGTGTACACAATTGATTGAGTAATTGTCCATATTTGGTCATTGTTTCTACTTCTTTGTTCATCACTACTATTGAAAATCTGTAGAAAGCTCTTGAAATTAATGAAGCTGAAGCAATCCAAAACATTAAATGACTGAATACTTTTTTACGTAAAAGTGACCAGCCAAGTAAACTAGATGGTTCAAACTGAGAAGGGCTATAAGTTGATTTGATTTCATCCATAGCTGCTGATGGTAAATGTTTCTTTGATTGAAAATTTCTGCTTTCATGGTGATCCAGTTTAAAATTCATTAGTTACTGTTAGTTACAAAGTTGTAGCTTCAATTGTTATTTTATTAATGATTTTCTAATTAACTCTTTCACTTACAGTAAATCATGAAATATTGGAGATCATTATATGACCTATTGATATAATACATTATTTATGTATTTTTATTTCTGAGTCTTTTAATAAGAGAGTAACTTGTATTAATATTGAAAAGTTTTAGTTGACAAAATATTAAAAACGATTTACTATTTTAACTTTTCTTGCTAGTAGCACGCTTTATGTCCGTGACTTTTAATGTTCAATTTTACGAGAATGGATTAGCAAATAGTTGAGCAAATTTAGTCCACCTTGGTCAAACGTTATTTAAAAATGCCTGGTAAAGCCAAGCCAATGGTTAGAGTAATGATAGCCAAAGATGATATGAAATTGACTGAGACCACACATAGACCAGCAAATGTGAATCCAACATCGTCTCGACTGATTCGCAATAGAAACAAATTTATCTGTAAATCGGAAACAAAAATGTTGAAAAAGTTTTAAGCAATGAAAAGGTCAAAGCACTTACTTCATTCATGGTGTCAATTGATCGTGCCAAGTTTGGTGAAAGTGTAAAACCATGAACTGTATTGCATATTTGCATTGACAAGTAGTTTACTCGAGCAAAATGGTAACTAGTTACAAAGATTAAAGTCGCAAAATAAGTCGCTCTACCAATTAAGATTAATATTTGAGAAATGGTTTGATCGGTGGCTGATAGCATACCAATGATACAAATAGAGTAGACGGACAGGAATCCGAAAGTGTTGAACACAGTCAATCTGAAAAAAGGATCAATTCGCCGAGTAAACTCGATTGTATGACTATGCATGTGACGGACCAATTTAATAACATGATAAACATCCACTCCAGGAGATTCGTTAACCTTCTTCGTTAGAGAATCCAAAAAAAAGTGGAAAAAGATGAAATTTGATTGTAAATAGATACAAGTTTCATAGATAAATTGCTGTTCCAAAATTAAACCCAATTCGCACATATACGACAGTATGATATCAATGTAGTTATACGTCAAGTGAAAAGGATTTGCATAATATTCGAAAAATCTCATGGTTATTCTAATTAGCAATTGTAATATAATTATAAATCGATTGATCTTCTGCCATTTGTTCACATATGAAGCCTGTGCCAGGCCACAAGAACCATTTTTGATGCTGGATTGGAAGTAGTTGATATACTCAACATAAATTGGGCCTTTGTATTTGTAGAGCAATATCGTTGCGAAAAGACTTGTAGAGAATAAGAAATTAGCGATTATTATACATCTATCATATGTTAAAGTACTAATTTTGATTCCAAGCGGAGTGTTTTTTGAGAATTCATTGATTAGTTTGACTGTAGCATAAAGTAGAAAGCTAATCGAAGTAAACAAATGCACTACTTGACTTGATATGTTTTCACGTAAAATGGACTTGGCGTAAATACTTGACGGTTTAGTTGACTTTTCAATAATGTCTTTCAATTCATTTGAGTCCATTTTAACACATTGAGCATTGATATTTTGTAATAAGACAGCTGCACGGGCAAAGAGAAACTAATAAAATGATTTCTTTTGGTTTTTATGCATATGGATATACATTGTATTTGTATATTCATTGATAGTTACTTATTTAACCATTTGAACGTTTAAACCTTTCATACTCCATAATAATTAATATTTACGATATTATAATAATATAAACATAAAGTGTTACTCAAAAAATCAATAAGAAAAGCATTATACTAAAATTTTAATTTAATATCAAGGCCAATAACTGGAATATGATTAAATATTAAATATTTTGATTCTCATCATTTAATGAAATTAGGTAAAGCTAAACCAATAGTCAATGAAATGGTAGCCACAGACGAAACAAAACTGGGTGAAACCAGGCAAAGACCAGCTAATGTGAATCCAACATCATTCCGACCAATTCGCAATAGAAATAAGTTTATCTGCAAAAAAATTAAATGTAAATTTAAGTATTTTTCAATTAAATGACCAAACAAGGTATTGGGTTACAACCAACCTCATTGATGGATCTACGTGAAAGGTCCGCATTGAGTGAATATGAAAGATCATAAACTTTATCAAACATTTGTACAGACAATTGATTTACACGAATCAAATGGTAAGTAACTAGAAAAAGATACAATGATTTAATGCAAAATTCAAAAACAGACATGAAAAATATGTAAGTTGACTGATTTGAATAGAAAAGTGTACCAAAAAGGAAAATGCAATGACCAATGAAATATGAATAAAAGACTAATATAGCATAAGTTAAATATCTGTCCATATAACGAATCGATCTAATTGTTTCGCTATAATACAATCGAATCGATTTAGTAATGCGATTGATGTCACTTTGCGATGGACGGTTGTTTGATTGCGCTAAAGTATCAAGTGAATCGATGAGAGGCAAAAAAGTGGATTGTGAATAGAAGCAACATTCAATGATAAACTGGATTGCAAGGATTTCAATGCATTTCGCAGTGTAAACTACAATTGAATAGACAATCATATTCAACGAAAAACCAAATTCGTTGAAATAATGTACATAATAATTGTCCAAAGTAATTATCAGTTGAACAATTAATGCCAATGTAAGAAACAGTTGATTGAATTTGGTCCATTTTACAACAAATTCAGTTGAAAACAAACCAAAGTTGTTTTTCGCGATCGAATAGTAAACATTCAAATATCTGATATACAATTGTCGGTTAAACATGAAGTGCAATATGACGAGACCAACCAACAATGAGTTCAATTGTTTGAGTGTTTTTTCATACTTAACAAAAGAGTAATCTGCAGTCGTAACACGAGAAATGGTTGGATCAAAGATCATGTAAAGTCTGCAAAAGGCTTTGGTGATTAATAAAACTGAAGTAAAGCAAAATATTATCTGATGTGATATACTTTTACGAACAAGTAAAGCACCAAATATACTGAACGGTTTATGCTGTGTATAAAAGCCATCGAGTGACGAGGATTCTTCGTTATTTAGATGGTCCATGGTCTGATTAATTTCAAATCAATTCAATTCAAATCTAATTTTCTTACATGAATAAAACTACAGGATCCCAAATAAAAGTTTTTGTAGCTTACCAAATATGATGTGAAATATAAATAATAAAACTTTACCTGAGAAATTATTACTGAGTTACCTGAGTTATTAACTTGGTCACAAATACAACATAAGGTGTGATCAGAGTTAATGTTTGTAAATATTGATGATTGTATCTACATTTTAAATTTTATTGATTTGGTAGTTTTTATTGATGAGACATTTCAAGGCATTTTAGGATCGTTTAAAATCAAATAGATTTTCGATGTATCCATACATTTATAATGAATGTCACAAATATCATTAACATTATGATTTGAAAGGCAACTTTTGACCTACAAGAATGATTGTAAATTTTCATTATTTACAATATTTAATATTCAAGAAACGATTTAGTTCGGTGTATGCGTCTGAATCAGTGATTGTATCTGATAATAGTGGATTTCTAAGGTCAATAAAATGAAATCTGTGGCATAAAGCATGTGGCATGAAACAATCCAAAACAGCCAAGTTCTAAAGTAGTAAACTAAATGTTTCAGTATGGGAATAAAAATTCATTGCATTTATTAAAGCTTCATTTTATCAATAAAATCACAAGCAAAGCTCTAGAATAGACCATTAAAAAGTCGATTCTCTATTTAAAAAGGTTAGGCAAAGCTAAACCGACAGTCAATGAAATGGTAGCCAAAGATGAGACAAAACTGGGTGAAACCAGGCAAAGACCAGCGAATGTGAATCCAACATCATTGCGATCGATTCGCAATAGAAACAAGTTTATCTAGAAAACAAAGCAAAATTTTGTTAAGATAATTAAACCATGTATTCGTCAAAACCAACCTCATTGATAGATTCAACTGAATCTGAATTGGAGGAATGTGTAAGAGCATAAACTTTGTCAAATATTTTGACTGACAATCGATTTACACGAGCTAAATGATAGGTAACCAACACTAGGTAAGAGGCTTCCCCGAAAAACCTGAAAAAGTTATAAATTTGCAAGTAAATCGTACTCGAGCCTTGAAAGAACCTGCCAAAAAGGAAAATACAACGACCACTGAAGTAAAAATAAAAGACCAAAACGGCAAAAGCTAGAAACTTGTCCATATAACGAATAGATTTAATGGTTTCAAAGTAATATGAGCGAGTCACTCTGGCCATTCGATACATTTTAATTGGCGTTGAATGTTTGTTTTGGTGCAAAAAATTATTTAGCAAAGTGTTGATTGGTATGAAAGTTGCCTGGCAATAGATGCAACATTCAATTATAAATTGCATTGAAAGGATATAACTGACTTGAGAGATGAGCACAACCAAAATAGTAGCAAAAAAATTTACCTGTAAACCGATTTTGTGAAAGTAACGCAAATAAGTATGGATGGTAATAGTTGTCAGTTCATAAAGGAATGCGATTAACACCCAGAAGCGAATGATTTTGACCCATTTATTAACAAATTTAGATGAAGATTTACTGAAATGCTCGGAGACAATTGTTTGGTAACAGTCCAAATAAGTAATGTACACAGAACGATTAAATTCAAAATTCATAATGGTTAAACCAAGACACAGTGAATACATTTGAATGAGCAATTGTTCATATCTGATGATAGGAGGTTCGCGGTGGTCGATGCCTGTAGTAAAGATGAAATAAAGTCTGTAGACGGCTTTTGAAATCAATGAGATTGAAGCGACCCAAAACGTTACTTGACTTGACACATTTTTCCGTACAAGTGAACAGCCGAGTAAGCTAGACGGTTCAGTCTGTGGATCACTATAAATTGATTTAACTTGATCCATATTTGCTGGTGGTAAAGCTTTATTTGAAACCTCATTAACTTGAAAGTTTTGACCTTTTTATTTCATTGATCATACGTTACTGTTGGTTACAAAGTTGCCGATTTAATTGTTATTTTTTAATGATTTTATTTTATTTTCCAAGTATAAGATTGAAAATCACTAATTCCAGTCTGTTAATATCACATTGTATCTCGTTCATTATTAATAACAATACATTTAAATGTATTTATTTCTAGATTTTTAAATAAATTTTGCATTTCAAAGCAGAGTAAGTTAACGCGAAACAACGATTTCATCTGAGTTTTCAAACGATGCATGCGATCAAGCAATTAATACAACAAAGCATTAAAAAACAAAGTTAAATACATGTTTAGGTGGGTGGATTTTAAAGAATGAACCTGAATTTCATTACAATGGTTCAAATAACTTAAGCATGCAGATGGATAGTGAGATGTTAGTAAACAAGTGTAATGTTTCACTCCATTTGTTTTCCCGTAAAAGTGATTTACCAAGAATACTCGATGGTCTGTTTAATATTGACCGATAAATTGATCTAGTTACATCAAGTCCAATTTTAATGTTGAATCTTTTCACAAGTTTTGTTTCTTGCTCGACACGAGAAACCACTTTCCGGCTGTTCGACTACGCTATACTTGACTTGAAAACTGCGATGGATAACACCATCAACCCTCTCAGAGTGGTACTAGTAAAAAGTTCTCGACTTTTAGCAAAAAATCAATAAGCTTCGATATAGCAAAGTTGTTTGTTGGTGTTTGTATTACGTTTAATATTTAGAGAGGGTTACCTGCATGGAAGAAATTTTTTATTTCATTTATAAATGGAAACTTTTTTTAAGTAAAATAACTAAATACAAGTGTTTACAATAAAATGATAATATATTATATTATTTTATAATATTATGAATAAGAATAATTATTCATTTCTGCGAACACATTTGGTTCTCGAGAAAATAAAGGTTTTTTAGTGACTTAGTGACTCTTGATAATACTGGGTAAAGCTAAACCGAGAGTCACTGAAATAGTGACCAAAGATGATGCGAAACTGGGTGAAACCAAACAAAGATCAGCGAATGTGAATCCAACATCATTACGATTGATTCGCAATAGAAACAGATTTATCTGTAAAAGTTAAGAATATTTTATTAAATTATCAAACAAACGGTTTGTCTGAAACTAACCTCATTGATTGCTTCAATTGATTGATCAGAGTTGAATGAAAATGAAAGTTGATAGACTTTGTCAAATATTTGGACTGACAATTGATTTACACGAATTAAATGATAAGTGACCAACACTAGGTAAGAACCTTCCCCAAAGAACCTAAAGACTGAGTAACACAGCATAAAAAGTGATTGTCCGTTAGCGAAAGTGGAGCTAAAAATGAAGATACAATGACCAATGAATTGAAAATAAAAGACGAAAATGGCATAAGCTAAAAATCTGTCCATGTAACCAATCGATTTAATGGTTTTGATGTAATATACGCGAGTCGATCTAGCCATACGTCTGAATGCAATTGGTGATGAATGTTTGTTTTGGTTCAATAAAGTATCTAGTAATGCATTAATGGGTATAAATGTTGACTGACAATAGATGCAGCATTCAATCATAAATTGAATTGAAAGGATATAACTGAGTTGGGCGATTAATCCAATGGCAATGGTAGCAAACATATTTACTGGTAAAATGAACTTTTGAAAATACATATAAGTATTGGTCGAAGAAGTTATCGTTTCATAGATGAACGCGAATGCTACCCACAAGCGAATATTTCTGCCCCATTTTTTCACAAATTTAGGTGAAGCTTTACCGAAATTATTGGCAACAATTGTTTGGTAAAAATCCATATACTTAATGTACGAGGAACGGTTGATTTCAAAGCGCATAGTTATTAAACCAAGGCACAGGCAAAACACTTGATAAAGTATTTCTTCATATTCACCGATGCTGGCTCCATGGACGTGAATTACCGGACTAATGGTGAAATAAATTGTGTATAAAGCATTAAAAATCAATCCGATTGAGGCAATCCAAAAGATTACTTGACTAAACACATTTTTCCGAACAAGTGAACATCCGATCAAACTAAATGGTACATTTTGAGAATGAAAATAAGTTGATTTAATTTCATCCATATTTGGTGATGGTAAATGTTGATTTGAATATTAACCTGTTGGACAATTTGATTAATCCTTTTCACTGCTGCGTTACTGTTGGTTACAAAGTTGCCGATTTAATTGTTATTTTGTCAGTGATTTCCTAATTTTTCTCGTTCTCATCCATCATTCATTAGCTATGTCAAAAAGTTTTGCACGAAAATCACATTTGAAAAATCTGATTGTCAAACTATTTAATCAATGAAATAGCTTCAATTTATTTTTAGTAAGGTCCAAAAAAGCATTTATATATTAATATAATAGAAGTTGTGAAATGTGACTTGGTGAAATACGCTTTTCACCTATTCAGTCTGGAATTCTTTGATCTGAATAAACCCGCAAAAGAGTATCCCCAATCTTTGTGTCCTTTTCGTCATTAGTTTCTCACAAATGGTATCAATTTGGCTTGGATATTTGTTTCAAGTTATAAATTGATTCGGTACAGTAATAATCGGTAATCCCTAAACAGTCCCACTTAACGGACAGCATAACCTTAGCATTTGAACTTGGTGAGATTCGACCACTAACCCCAAGATACAAACACATCAACATATGTAAGTTAGTCTTCACGCAACCTTTAACCACTAAGCCATTCGGTCATAAAACACTCCATCTACTGTTATTTAGTCATTATTAGTCTAATTTTCAGTGTAAAAATGAAAGAAAAAACAGCTTATTGATTTTCTTGGAAGCTTGACCCCACATTTTTATCCATTAATCAAGGGTTTACAGTATGAAATAGATATTCGCTTTTTTCATGCATTTACAATTTGAAAGGCAGCTTTTGATCAAATGGACTTCTAATTAAAATCTATCTGCTAAAACTAGGTAAAGCTAAGCCAAGAGTCAATGAAATGGTAGCCAAAGATGAGACAAAACTGGGTGAAACCAGGCAAAGACCAGCGAATGTAAATCCAACATCATTCCGATTGACTCGCAATAGAAACAGATTTATCTGCAAAAAGAGAAATATATTTATTAGAATTATTGGACAAGTTTCAGTTAAAGCTAACCTAACCTCATTGACTGCTGCAATTGATTGATCAGAGCTGAATGAAAATGAAAGTTGATAGACTTTGTCAAATATTTGGACTGACAATTGATTTACACGAATCAAATGGTAAGTGACTAGAACAAGGTATGAAGATTCACCGAAAAATCTAAAGACTGAGTAACACAACATATAAAGTGAGTGTCCGATATTCAAAGTGGAGCTGAAAATAAAAATACAATGACCAATGAAGTACAAATAAAATACCAAAACAGCATAAGACAAAAATTTGTCCATGTAAATAATTGATTTAATGGTTTTGATGTAATATAAACGAGTCGACTTAGCCATGCGATTGATGGTAAGCGGCGATGAAAGTTTGTTTCGGTTCAATAAAGTATCTAGCAATGCATTAATGGGTATGAATGTTGACTGACAATAAATGCAGCATTCCATTACAAACTGCAATGAAAAGATGTAACTAAGCTGCACGATCCAATCGAAGAAAATAATAGCGCCCATATTTAATGTAAATCCGAACTTGTTAAAATAACGAAGATAATTATTTGTCGAAGTAGTTATCACTTCATAGATGAATGCAACTATTACATAGAAGCGAATGATTTTGACCCATTTTTTGACAAATTCAAGTGAAGCTTTACCGAAATGATTGCTGACGATTGTTTGGTAACAATCCAAATATTCAATATACAAGGAACGATTAACTTCAAAATGCATAATGATTAAACCAAGACACAATGCATACATTTGATTAAGTATGTTTTCATAACTGTTAATAACAGTCGTGGGTTCACTCACGTCAATTGGTGTAATAATTGCAAGATAAAGTCTGTAGACGGCTTTTGAAATCAATGCAATTGAAGCGACCCAAAACACTACTTGACTAAACACATTTTTACGTACAAGTGAACAGCCTAGTAAGCTAGATGGTTCGGTCTGAGAATGACAGGGATTTGATTTAATTTCATCCATCTTTGCTGAAGGCAAATGTTTATCTGAATGTTTTACAATTCTTTTGAGTGATGCAGTTCAGATTTTCAAATTCATTAGTAACTGTTGGAAACGAAAGTTGAAAGATTAATATTGTTTTGTTATTAAAATTCTCTTTCGTTTTAATCGATCGAATCAACTACAAACAATCACATGAAGTCCAAGTATAGTTGTATTATTGATGAAAATAGATCATTGGTGTCAAAATTTTGCTAAGCGTCATTTAAAAAAGCCTGGTAAAGCTAAGCCAATAGTTAGTGTAATGATGGCCAAAGATGATATGAAATTGACTGAGACCACGCATTGACCGGCAAGTGTGAATCCAACATCGTCTCGACTGATTCGTAATAGAAACAATTTTATCTGTAAATTGGAAACAAAGATAAAAAGGTTTTAAGCAATGAAAGGGTGGATGGCTTTACCTCATTCATGGTTTCAATTGATCGTATCAAGTTCCGTGAAAGTGAAAAATCATGAACTTTGTTGTATACTTGGATTGACAAGTAGTTTACTCGTGCAAAATGATAACTACTTAAACATAGTATAGTCGCAATAAAAATTGCCCTTCCAATCAAGGTTAGTATTCGTATCATTGTTTGATCGGGTGCTGCCAACAAACCAATGTTGCAAATAGAGTAGATTGCCAGATATCCAAAAGTGTTCAAAACCTTTAATCTAAAAAAAGAATCAAGCTGCCGAGTAAATTCAATCGTTTGACTGTGTATGTCACGGACTGATTTAATAGCATGATAAACATCTACTCTTAGATTCTCGATAACCTTCTTCGTAAGCGAATCAAAAAACAAGTGGAAAAACACGAAATTTGATTGTAAATAGATACAAGTTTCTAGGACAAATTGTTGCTCCAAAATCAAGCCAGATTCACACATATATGTCAATATGATTTCAGCGTAGTCATATGTCAAACTGAAAGGGTGGTAATAAAATTCCAAAGTCATTATGGTCAATCCAGTTAGGGACAGTAATATAATTATAAATCGATTGATCTTCTGCCATTTGTTCACATATAAAATCTGTTTCAGGCCAAAAGGATTCTTGATGCTGGATTGGAAGTAATTGATATAATTAACGTATTTTTTACTGTTGTATTTGTAAAGCAGTATAGCTGCGCTAACACTAATAGCGTAGAAGAAATTAGCGATTCTTGTACAATTATTGTACGTAAAATTACCTCTATCAACTCCAAGAGGAGTGTTTTTTGAGGAGTCATGAATTTTATAAAGTTTAACTAAAGCATAGAGTAGAAAGCTAATCGAGGTACACAGTTGCACTACTTGACTTACTATGTTTTCACGGAAAAGGGATTTGGCAAAAATACTTGATGGTTTAGTTGACTTTTCAATAAATTTCCTCAATTTATTGTAATCCATTTTAACACATTAAACAATGAAATCTGTTATGATTGATCAACTGCATGGGTGCAGAGAAAATAAACTGATTCTGGGCAGTTTTAAAAATTTAATGATACTAATTGAGTTTGTAATTCATAATTATTTCAACATTACAGATATTTATTAATATTACATTTTTTTACATCATTTTTCAAACGTATTAATGTGAACGACGCGAAGATAGAACTTGAAAAACCATTAAAACCATTGAATTTTCATTTATTTTACAGGAAAATTTGAATTTCCAATGAAACAGTATGACTAGGTTTCTTAATTTGCTTCGAGCATTGACTTTAGTCAGTCATATTAAGAAAAATTGCGTAAAGTTAAGCCGATAGTCAAGGCAATAGTAGCCGATGATATAAAACTTTGTGTAATCAGACATAAACCAGCAAATGTGCAGCAAACATCGCGATTTATTCGACATAAGAATAGAAGATCAAGCTAATTACCATACAATTTTTCATAAACGATAGATCAGCCCAAACATCATACTTTTTTGTTCGGCATTTAAGGTCCGATTAATATTTAGGTGCACAAATGTTTTGACCGAAAATTTGAGAATTGCCTTGACCTTCAAAAAATGGTGCGTCAAAGGCAATAAATATAAGTTTTTGCTTATGCAATTGTTAGGTTCTCAGGTTTAATATCACCATGTATAATGCGCATATTACGGAGGTAAGCGAAAACATCGTAGAAATTAAGCGCAAGCTTCTGATTTACATCTAATCCTAAATTTCTGATTTAGTTCATTTTGGGCAGATACTAACACCACAATCATTTAAAATCATGAAATCAGCCCAAGAAAGGTTCATCACTACAAAGCTGAATTTTTTTTAACTAAAATGAAGTTAATTCATAAACAAAATCATCCCGAAGAAAGTTCAATTTCCAAAGAGCTATTTACTAGTCGCATTAATTTTGAATGAATTGTAATAAAACATTTATGTTCAAAAAGTTTGTTAATTACAAGAGTACTGATTTTTTTTATTATCAAAATACATTTAATTGAAAACAAATAGAAAAATAGAAAAAATAGAAAAAATGGAAATGGAAAATAGCGGGGTTTAAGGGGGTTTAAGGATTTTTGGCCGTTCTTCCTCTTGGCTTGCCTGCGGAACGAACTCAGACTTGAGGACCAATGCAAGGGGTCGGACATGGCTTTTCGGGGTCCGAACCACAAACATGATTAGGGGCACCAGGTTCAGTGCAGCTGTCCGCGCATTGACATCGGCTTCATTTTTGCGGGCAAATGTTTTGCCAAAGAAACACCAGGGTATCTTGCGGTCGATGCCCTATTTCTTCCTCTTCTTCATCTTCTATGCCTCCGCCGCAAGTTCATCTGGAGCAAGTTGAGCCACCCGTTGGCCTTTTTTGCAAGTGACAATTGGACCCTGAAACGAAAAAGAAAACATGAATTAATATAAATGAATGTTTAGATAATAAAAATGCAAAATTCGATGAATTGCCAGCGCAAATATACTTACATAATTTTCAGGTTCCAAATCAGGACAATCAAGCTCCTCATCAAAATAGATGATGGGCTCATGCTCGACCAGATTGCCGATTACTCGGCGCTTAAGTTTTTAATTATAAGCATACCCTCGTTGAGGATTTTGCTTACCGGGTAATCAGCCTGGGCTACGTGAGCTTTGGGCAACCCTGAGCCACAGGTCTTTTGTGGAGGGACGGGTGGAAGTTCATAAGCTTCATGATCAGATTCCTGAAATCAACAAAATGTTATTAATTCATAAAACAGAAAGAAAATTGTTTCAATATCAGTTAACATACCTGGTCATCCTCTGATAACGATGAAGAGGATTCAGATGAGCTAGGTGGAGGAGGTACAGGACGCTGAAACAAGTCAAAAAAGATGGAAAAAACAGTTAATCAAAAAACTCGAAAAAATAAAATCAGTGGGTTCAACAATATCATCCTCGATATAAACAAGTCAATTATAATGGTGTTTAAATTGGTGTTGCTTTGTTTTCATGGAAGACTTCTCTCTCTTTAAGAGCTTTTACTTTCTATAGAGCCTGTAACATGAAAAAAATGATGAGGATGATGATGACCAATGAAACGTTTTACGTTCATGTTTCTCCCTCTTTCTTTCATTATTTCCTTCTTTTTCTTTTCCTTTTCTTTTTCCTTCTTTTTTCTTTTCTATTTCTTCTTTCTTTCTTTTCCTTATTCTTCATCTTTCTTCTCCTTCTTTATTATCTTTTTCAGTTGAACGTTTCAGTTCAGAAGTTGACTTCAAAATCTGTCGTTTGGTCTCTTTTAGTGCAGTTGAGACATGAGATTACTAACCAAGCTCTTTGCTTGAAAGTAAGTTTTGCATATATTCCTAGTCAAACAATAAACCACCCAACCAAATAACTAAAAATTTCCAGTAAAAAAAGCCTTTATTTTCTCAAATAGTTCGGGAGTGGTAACTTCAAACGGTCGCCCTTGGTTATCTTCTCTTCGGCCATGAAGCGTTCCATGGGCTAAAAATCGATCAAAAACACTGTAAACATGATAATAATTCACATTAATCACAGTTTAATATGTTTTAAAAAGATTTTGGAGGAAACAGAAAAGGGTAAAATCGAAAAATGGAAAAGTCAGAAAATTTACCGATGGATAGTTCGGTGCGACACCAGATTTCTTCCATTAGACTCTTAGCAACAATGACCTTTACAAAACCAATACACACATGCACAAAAATGACACATATCAATTGTCACCCTGTATGTTGTAAAGAATTTAACTATACTTCAATTGAAGTAGATGTAAACAGTGGGCCCTAGAACTTGGGCCAACAAGATAAGATTTTAGTGAGGGTGCACTGATAAGAAATAGGAGTCTTATCTAGGGAACTAGGGAACTAAGAAATGAATAAAAAGGGACAAATAAACAAATAAGAGTTGTTTATTTAACGAAGATTATGAGTACAAATACAGTTTCGTATTCTAACTTCACACTGACTTTAGCTCGCTTTTTGATGGTCTTTTATATCAGCTATCGCACTCACTTAGGGCTCCCGAAGTTAGCAAACAAACAATTCTGGGAATTGTTTACATTTTTCTTCTTTCCCATCTATTTCTTAGAATTGTTTGGTGTCTCAGATTAAGCCAAGGTTCCATTTGGGCGCAGGGGTCATGAGTACTTATTCTCACGCTCAGTTTTGAGTACAGGGTCCAAGATAATAAATAATAAAAAAAATTTCCGTCTTACATTCGCACAACCTCGATAAACGACTGACCCTAGTCGTTTAAGTAAACAACAAATCATATAAAAATACAAAATGGACATCAACTTTTGTCACAACATATTTGACAGTACACGAGTTCATTACTCTAAATTTGTTACTATTTACTCATATATTGTTGCTTCCTGTTATTTTACGCATTACAATGGTTTGGACGTACCCACTAACTCACCCCAATACAACCAGTAAGTTCGGACTCTTGCCTTGTAGTCTTTGTTAAGTTGGCCTCTGTATTATTGAGACCCCTTTTTTTAGGAGCCGTATGTGGTTCTGATACTGAAGAGATGGCTGAAGTGGAGACTGGTCCCATTGGAAACATCCAGCGACCTAGATCCCGGTCTGCCTCAAGGTCTCGATCTCCGATTATTCCTTTGGTTCGGTTGGAGCTTTCAACAGATTCTTCTGAGTCCTCGGATGAAGGAGATAGTGACTACCAGCCACAACTGGATAATGTTTATCTTGTTTCAAGTCTTTCTCCTCATTTCATTTAAAGTGAAATAAAAAAAGTAATGATAAAATTTGCTCAGCTTGGTTTGACAGAGTTGAAATAATTTCCAAGTGGATTGTGTCATGATAACTGTGGTTGAAAAGATTTCTATCTTGCGATTGTGAAAAGCCTTTCCTCTGAAGTAAACTTTCTTTTTGCTTTTCCTTGCTCGCCAAAACAGTCAATTGCAATAAATTTTTTTCGACACTAGTATTCAGAGTTAAGTTAATAAAATCGGAGATTTTTTCCATAGTAATGCGACTGGCAAAGTAATTTATCAATTGTTATGTTGATTTAGACATTGAAAGAATCATTTGATTGAAATTACATGGAAAGTCGATCAAATTTTTCTCACTTTTTCTGCTTCTATTAGGGTGTCCTGGTGATGATTCTCCTGGACATGAAGTTTTATTTTAAATTTTATTTCAATTGAAGTAGTCGCCAGAGGCGGCAATACACTTTCGGGGAGTCTCATAACTGGGTGACTTTCCGGGGTAGGTTTCGTCCAATCTTTTTTTGGCCTCAGTCGCAGGTACACCGGTCAAAAATAAATTTCTTATTACCGCTCTAATTTCCTCGTCTTCCATCTTGCAAAAACTGAATAGCTTAAAAACGGTTTGAGTGAACAAAGAATGGCTTGGTAGAGATAGAGACTAACTAGTATGAAGTGTTTTTATGTAGCGACATCTATGTTTACCTTCATCAACTACGTAAGGGGAATCATCACCCAGACACCCTAATACAACGTGACAAATGGAAACCGAACGTGTTTGCTACAAATTTTTTTAATGAAAACTTTAAGCTACATAGATATTTAGGTGTCAAAATGTAGAAAAAAAAGTGGCAGTATTAGAGTGTAATGTTTTCTAAATGGCCACTATCACTTTGGATGAGGCATTCAAGTCTGCGCAAAAACCCGTTGATGACATTTTGGCACATTTTCTGTGGTAGCTTTTCGGCCGCTTGATCTATTGATTTTGCAGCTCTTTTGAATCTTCAGGCTGTTTCGCGTAAACTTGTTCTTTCATAAAGCCCCATAAAAGGTAATCACAAGGATTTAGGTCAGGCTAGTATGGCGGCCACTCAATTCCCCCGCCCAAAATCGAGGGTATCCAAGGCCAATTCCGTGTTCATCAAAGAAAGAATGTAAGGTTGAAAAAACTTGACTGGTTCTGTGGGGTGGGCACCATCCTGCATGAACTGCATGGTCTTGAATCCCTCCCTTCGCACAAATGGGAGAAACTTAACCCTTGAGTGAAGCATCATAGCTTCACCAGTTAATGTGTTAGTAAACATTTCTATCTTCAGGAAATCCTCACAAATAGCCTAAACAGTTACGCGCGTGTAGTGATTTAGACCTAACGAACTCTGGCTTCTAAGTTCCCCAAAATCGCATATGCTGTTTGTTAACATAATTATCCAGATAGAAATGGCTTTCTTCTGAAAAATAATGTTACCAGCTTGCAAAGTATCAGCATGGATCATGGGAACGACCTGCCTTGCATATGGCAATCTCTTTTCTTTCTAATGTTCTTCAAGCCTGTGTCTCACTTGGATTTAGTACAAATAGAACTTCAAAAACTTTCTCAAAACAAGGCGCAGGCTTTCTGTGTTTAATTTCAACACAGCAGCAGCCATCCAAATCGAGGCGTTTGGATTTTTTTCAAAATAATCATCAATCATGTCTAAAGTTTCAGGTGTTGTAACACTGTATGAAGAACCTGGATTTGATTCTCGCCAGTCATCGAGAGTTGCGTGTTCCAGCCACTTATAAATGGCTCTGAAATAATATGGATAAGAGCAATCAATATGCGAAAAAAAGCTGTTTGAAATTTCATTAAAAAAGTCAAAAAATTGCAAAAAAATTTTCTTACCTTTTCAGCGATGAATCCGAAGGAAGGTTGGCTTTTCCAAACTAAGTGTGCATCGCACTACATGCTGAAATTTTGATTTTCCTTTTGTATAATATGCTTCTATGAGGTATATTTTCTGCTCGACCGTCAAATCACTCATAATTATTAAGAAAAAAATTTAACAAAAATGCTGCCAAGACACGCTGCATAAACTTATTTGTTAGAAAAAATCACCAAAAGACTGCGCTAGTAGCGAAAACCGAAATTTGAGGTCAAACACGTTCACTTACCATTTGTCACCCTGTATTTTATAATATTAAAAATATGCAAACGTCACAAGAGCTTTTCATCATATCTTCATTTTCATCTTGATGTAACCTTTTTCCTTCATTTTGTTTCATTGCCTGAGAAGATTCCGAATTGCACTTTTATATATCCAAGTGAAAATGCGGTAAAATTAGTCCCAAATCATGTTTGGTTTTGTTTGATTATTACTATTCATTTTACTGTTGCACTTTTTTCATTTAAAAGCAAACAACATGGAAACTTAGTTCATTTTAATTCAATTGAAAAAACAAAACGCTGATCTAATGAGCTTCCACAGATTTCTTTGAATAAGAATTGGAGAGTTGCACTAGCAAAGGGGAAAAACTGAAAATAAGGAATGAATAGTGAGAGGTTTAATTCCTCTTTTTGATCGATTAAACTTATTTGTTCAGTTGGGTTTGATGGTTAAGTTGGTGTTAGTATTTGGTATTAATTATTCCCAATAACAAATATCCATCAAACACTGTTCATAATCACTAATGAACTTGATGATGATTTGAAGATGTTGGTGTTGGTACAAAACTAAAATATATCTATGGGTGCCAATTGTTAGCCCTCTCCCCATTCTTTCTCCCTTTTATACTCCAATTTAATTTTGGGTGCGGATTACTCAGGGCACTCAAATTAAATTGAGTTTATTGTTTGGTCAAATGTGAGGTGTGCTACTTTAATTTTAATGTCACTCAAATTTAATTCAAAACTTAATTGAAAATTTAAATATAAACAACGATGAGGTTGATTAAATTTACCTTTACGCAGTCAAACAGTTCAATATCAATCTGTTTTCAATAAATTTTCTTATCTTGTGTACGTCCTATCCTGTGTATTTCTACTACTACTCGCCTCGTATTTCGACTTATAAATATGTTGATACTTTATTGTTATACATATGCGAATTGGGCTTGATATTGAAGCAACAATTTATCCTAGAAACTTGTGTCTATTTGCAATCAAATTTAGTGTTTTTCACCTATTTTTTGGTTCTCTATTGAAGCAGGTCGATGAATCTGTGGGATTAGATGTTTATCATGCTATTAAATCAGTCTCATGCATAGTCAAACAATTGAGTTTACTTCGCAAATTGATTCCTTTTTCAGATTGAATGTGTTCTACACTTTCGGGTTCCTGACTACTTACTCTATTTGCATCATTGGTTTGTTGCTAGCACCCCATCAAACCACACGAGGAATGCTATATTTAACTGGTTGAGCGATTTATATCGCGACTATACTGTGTGCAAGTGGTTACACTTTTGCTCGAGTAAACTACTTGTCAATCCAAGTACTGTGAACCCTCTCATATTGTCACCCTCTCATAATGTCACGTAGTCATGGTTACAGAGTAAACACCTTTGTTTCATTCATTCCTTTGTTCAAGAGTTATTAATCAAAATGCCGAAGCATAATTTGAATTATAACGAAAAGTTGAAATTATTAAATTGTGTTCACAAAAATGGAATCGATACGGTCCAACGTATGTACCGAGTGAGTCGAAGGACAGTATTACGAGCAATCTAGAATGAAAGTAAAATTGAAGAAAAGGTTGTCCAAGGAAAGGGTAAAATGAAAAGGTAAAGTTGATCATATTATAATCACGATGGTGGTCAATAATTTTATTTAATTTTACTTACATTTAGCTTGGTGGACAAAACATCTAATCTTGATTCAGCTTTACTGTCATTTGTTCACAAAATGAATAAAAAAACATTCCCAATATCATCACAAATGATTTGTCAAAAAGCTATTGAGCTATCAAAAAATTCAAATTTCAAAGCTTCCAATGGATGGTTTGAGAGATTCAGAAAAAGGTGTAATATCAAATTTGGAACACTTTCTGGTGAAGCTGCAGCAGTTGATCAAAATGTTGTTGAAAATTTCAAGCTAAATAACTTACCATTGATTGTAAGAAAATATCCACCAGATAAACGTTGCAATGTTGACGAAACTAGTCTATTTTATCGTCAGTTACCTTCAAAAACATTTTTCATCAAAAAGAATGAACACTTTGGGAATAAATTAAACAAAGAAAGAATCTCAATTCTACTTGGGTGTAACCAAAGTGGTGAAAAGATGTTGCCTTTGATTATCACTAAATCAAAAAATCCAAGGTCTTTAAGAGGTCGAAGTAATTATTTAAATCAAAAAGGTCTTTTATTAGAGTCAAATAAAGCAGCTTGGATGACCAAAGAAATTTTTTTCAATTATATAAAAAAATGGCACGTGGAGTTGGAGAAAAAAGGAGACAGAATTGCCTTAATATTGGATAATTTTGCTGGTCACAAAGTTGATGAAAAAAATTTTCCATTAATTGAATTTTTTGGCTTCCACCAAATTCAACTTGTTTTCTCCAGCCATTGGACAGTGGAATCATAAAATCTTTCAAGAGTAAATTTGTGAAAAGACTTTTATCAAGAATAGTCAATGAATTTGAAAATAAAGATGATCTTAAAGAGATCATCAAATCCATCACTCTGTTTGATGCCTTAGAATGGCTTACTGACTCGTGGTCTGAGACTACAAAAGAGACAATCATCAATAGTTGGAGGAAAGCCGGATATAATGATGAGGATGAAGTTGTTGAAGAAATGATAGTTGATGAAATTGATGAAAATGGTGAAAATGATGGAAATGATGGCAGCAATGAAAATGGTGAAATACAACTTCTTTATGATTCCATTCCTATTGAGACAAAAGACAAGCCAACATTAGTCAAATATATGGAACAATTATCATTAAATGATACACCAACATACCTTTTTGATGAAACATCAATACCAAGGGGCCTTTAATTTAAATTAAATTTAATTTAATTGATATTTAATATAAAAAACAAACCAAAAACTGAACAAAAAACATGAAAAATTTACTTTTTACTGGAAGATTGTAAACAAAGCTATTTCCAACAAACATTCTGTGAAAATAACAATAAAAGCTAATCCCACGACGTGACAATATGAGAGGGTTGACAGTATTCAACAAAGTTCATGATCTTTCACTATCACCAAACCTGGTACGATCAATTGAAACTATGAATGAGGCAAACCTTTTGTCCCTTTCATGGCTTAAAACCTTTTCAACATTTTTGTTTCCACTTTCTAGATAAATTTGTTTCTATTACGAATCAGTCGAGACGATGTTTATTCACACTTGCTGGTCTATGCGTGATTTCAGTCAATTTCATGTCATCTTTGGCCATCATTGCACTAACTATTGGCTTAGCTTTACCAGGCCTTTTCTAAATAGCATTTAGTAAGGTTTCGTTTCTCAATGTTGTAGTTTTAGATGGTATTGTATTGATCCATTGAAAACTTTTCAAGATTTACAATGTATTACTTGAACTCAATTTGTTACAGGCAGGACATTATCAGAAAATTTAAATTCAATATTTATAAATGATAAATGTAAAACGCTCACAATAAACTGGGTTAAGAGAAGCAAAAATCGTAAAATCGGGAAATTATGCAATATTTTCATAAGATATTAACCATGATCGATTTCAAGTTTTGTACGGTATATGATCGAAGAGAAAGAGTAAAATTGATAAAAATCATTAGCAAAATAACAATTAAACTTGAAACTTTGTAACTAACAGCAACTAATGGTCAAATGAAATTAAGGCTTAATCAAATTGTCCAACAGAGTAACATTCAAGTCAACATTTACCGTCAACAAATATGGATGAAATTAAACCAACTTATAGTGATTCGCAGACTGAACCATTTAGTTTACTTGGCTGTTCACTTGTACGTAAAAATGTATTTAGTCAAGTAATGTTTTGGATTGTCTCAATCGGATTGATTTTCAATGCGTCTTACAGAATATTATTCATCATTTTTCCAGCATTTCATGTCAATGAAGCCACCACTGATAAATATGAAGAAACATTCTATCAAGTGTTTTCACTGTGTCTTGGTTTAATTACTATGCATTTTGAACTTAATCGCTCCCTGTACATTAAGTATATGGATAGTTACCAGACAATTGTTAGTAACCATTTCGGCAAAGCTTCGCCTAAATTTGTCAAAAAATGGGGCAGAATCATTCGCTTCTGGGTAATATTTGCATTTATCTATGAAGTGGTAACTTCTTCGGCCAGTGATTATTCGTACTTTCAAAAATTCAGTTTACAAGTAAATATGTTTGCTACTATTTCCATCGGGATAATCTCGCAACTCTGTTATATCCTCTCAATGCAGTTTATAATTGAATGTTGCATCTATTGTCAGGCAACTTTTATACCAATCAACACTTTACTAGATACTTTATCGAACCAAAACAAACATTACTCTCCGCTTGATATCAATCGTATGGCTAGATCGACTCGCGTATATTACATCAAAGCTATTAAATCGATTCGTTACATGAACAAATTTTTAGCTTATGCAATTTTGGTCTTTTACTTACACTTCATTGGTCATTGCATTTTTATTTTTAGCTCTACTTTCGCTATCGGACAATCAGCTTTTATGCTGTGTTACTCAGTCTTTAGGATGTTTGGGGAAGGTTCTTACCTAGTGTTGGTTACTTACCATTTGATTCGTGTAAATCAATTGTCAGTCCAAATATTTGACAGAGTTTATCAACTTTCATTTTCATTCAACTCTGATCAATCGATTGAAGCGATCAATGAGGTTGGTTTAACTATTATATTATATGATTTTTTTAATCCTCTCACCAAATATACTTTTTTGCAGATAAATCTGTTTCTATTGCGAATCAATCGGAATGATGTTGGATTCACATTCGCTGGCCTTTGCTTGGTTTCACCCAGTTTTGTCTCATCTTTGGCTACCATTTCATTGACTCTTGGCTTAGCTTTACCCAGTATTTTAAAATGAATCTCAATGAAAATTAAGATCCGTTCCTGTAAATTGAAAGTTGCTTTTATTATAAATTATAATGTTAATGATTTTCGCAATAGCCATTAAAAATGTATGGATGAATCGAAAATCTATTTGATTTTTAATGATTCTAAAAGGCTTTGCAAACTATCATCAATAAATACAGCCCTGATTCCGAATATCGTAGTGTACCTAAATCAATAACGAACCAAGGTTTTATGCAAAGATGATCTATGTAGGAATTGGGTTAAACATAACGCGTATTAATTAATAATTACGATATTTAAATAAACAAAGCAAAGTGTAAATTTAAAAATTAATAAATAAAAACATTATAACAATACTTTAATTTCATTTTATGGTTAAATTTTAATTTAGAATGAAAAACCAAAGATTACAAAATGCTTAGATCATTAAAAGATCGATCCTCGTCATTTAACGAAATTAGGTAAAGCTAAACCAGTAGTTAATGAAATGGTAGCCAAAGATGATGCGAAATTGGGTGAGACCAGGCAAAGACCAGCGAATGTGAATCCAACATCATTGCGATGGATTCGTATTAGAAATAGGTTTATCTGCGAAAACAAATTAAATTGTTGCAAGATAATTAAAGAAGGTATTTGGGTAGAACCTGCTTCATTCATATTAATAGATTCAAATTAAAGTCTGTATTGAGTGAATATGAAAGATCAACAACAATGAGTTCAATTGTTTGAGAGTTTTTTCATACTTAACAAAAGAGTAATCTGCACTCGTAACACGAGAAATGGTCGGATTAAAGATCATGTAAAGTCTGCAAAAGGCTTTGGTGATTGGTAAAATTGAAGTAAAAGCAGAATATTATCTGATGTGATATACTTTTACGAACAAGTAAAGCACCAAATATACTGAACGGTTTATGCTGTGTATAAAAGTCATCGAGCGACTTGGATTCTTCGTTATTTAGATGGTTCATGGTCTGATTATTTTCAATTTAAATCTGATTCTCTCAAATGCATAGAGCTACAGTAATGCAATTGGTAATGCAATTAGTAAATGAACTTACCAACTGTTATGAATCTTATGATCTGTTATATTTGGTCACAAATATTACATAACGAAAGATCAGGGTTAATGTTTGCCTGTAAATATTGATGAGATATTTCAAAGCATTTAAGAATCATTTTAAATCAAGAAGATCTGTCATTATATTTATAATGAATGTCACAAATATCATTAAAATTATTAATTTAAAGCAACTTTTGATTTACAAGTCTTGCAAATGAATCATTTTTAAATTCATTAGTAGCATTTCTTTTCACTGAATACATTAAAGTAAATCATTCAAATTTTTAATGAACAAAACCCAAACTAAATCACCAGCTTCAGCTATACATTAATTATAACTAACTATACTTTATGTTGACTCTTTAACTTACATCTTGCGTCCTATCTTCAAGATGGACAAGAGTCAGAGCAAATGAGCTGAGAAACAATCATTTTATTTTCGATTCTGACTTATCCATGCATTCAATACAAAACATTGAGAGACAGCAACTTGCTATGTTGAATTTGAATTGAAAAAACTAGGCAAAGCTAAGCCAATAGTTAGTGCAATGATTGCCGCAGATGATATGAAATTGACTGAAACCAGACACAAACCACCAAATGTTAATCCAACATCGTCTCGACTGATTCGTAATAGAAACAAATTTATCTAGAAATTGGAAATAAAATGTTGAAAACGTTTTAAGCAATGAAAAGATCGAAGGCTTTACCTCATTCATGGTTTCAATTGATCGTACCAAGTTTGGTGATAGTGAAAGATCATGAACTTTGTTGAATACCTGCAGTGACAAGTAGTTTACTCGAGCAAAATGGTAACTACTTACACATAGTGTAATCGAAATAAAAATGGCTCTACTGATTAAGTTTAGTATTCGTATCAAAGTTTGGTCTGGCGCTAACAGCATGCCAATGATACAGATAAAGTAGATCGTTAGAAATAAAAAAGTGTTAAACACAGTGAATCTGAAAAAGGAATCAATGTGCCGAGTAAACTCAATTGTACGACTATGCATCCGACGGACTGATTTAATAACATGATAAACATCTACTCCAGGAGATTCGTTAACCTTCTTCGTTAGAGAATCAAAAAACAAATGGAAAAACACGAAATTTGATTGTAAATAGATACAAGTTTCTAGGATGAATTGTTGCTCCAAAATCATACCCGATTCACACATGAATGGCAATACGAAATTAAGCGAGTTGATAAAGGTCCAACTGAAAGGATTGTAACTAAAATGCAATGTTAATATGAGTATCCTGGTTATGGATTGTAATGTAAGTATAAATCGATTGAACTTGATCCATTTCTTTATGTATGTAATTTGTGTCAAACCGAAGCAATTCTTGTTGATGCTCGACTGAAAGTCATTTATAAATCTTGCATAAGTTGGACTGTTGTATTTGTAGAGTAATGAAGTTACACCAAAGCTTAGAATGACGAAGAAATTTACAATCCTTTCGCATCTGCTGTATGTTAAAGCACCAATATTGATTCCAAGTGGAGTGTTTTTTGAAGATTCATGAATTTTATACAGTTTAATCGTGCATAGTAGTAAAAAGCTGATCGAGGTAAACAAATGCAGTACTTGACTTGATATGTTTTCACGTAAAATGGATTTGGCAAAGATACTGGATGGTTTAGTTGATTTTTCAATGATTTTCATCAATTTATTGTAATCCATTTCAATACAAACAATGAAAAATTAAACAATTAAATCTGCAATATTTTGTATTACGGCTTCTTTGTGTGTAAAGAGAAACTAAACTTATTTTGTATTTGGTTCTTGTAAATTCATTGATTTGAACTAAATTTTTAACCATTTCAACATTACAGAACAATTAATAATTTATCTAATTTTATGCATTTATAAACAAAGTAAAAGTCATTTAGAAAATCATTAAAAGCATCAAACTCTCATTCCATTTCTTGAACAAATTACAGCTTCCATTGAAAACGATGATAACTAACTATTTTAGGTTTCTTTTCTGTACTTCAAGTACAAAACACTTCAGTTTGTATGTACTCAAGACAAGTTATTTAACCAAACTTGGTAAGGCTAAGCCAATAGTCAATGCAATAGTAG